GAGTCCAAGGGCTGCGAGGCCGCCGGCTTACACAGCAGCCATTTTGCTGGCCTCTCGGACCCCGCTGAGGTAGGCCCCCGTCACGGTCTGAGGGAAGTGTCGGTTGGTGGCCTGGTGGGAAAAGAAATGACAAATAATGAAAGGTTAAACCTGGTTTAAAACCAGTGGAATCAAACACAGTCACATATTGAGCATTAGCTGGGTTACTGATGCTCAGAGCCTAAACACAGCCAGCTGGACTTCTTCTTGTGAGACTTTTCTCCTCACATCCTGATGCTTCTTGAAGCCTGAATCCTGAAACAGTCAGCGGACTCGGTGAGCTGGTGATCCGTTTCCTGTCCTCACTGAGTTTAAGTGACAATATTCAGCCCGCAGAGTTCATTTTATTTTCTCATTTCTTTTGTCACCAACTGGTTGAGGTAGTTTGGGTTGGGCAGGCAGATGGACTTCTTGGAGCTAAAAGAAATCCCTGTTCTCATCCTGAAACTTCTTAAGGGGAGGGGTCAGTCGAGGGGTCAGAGATCGTCGATTGTCTGAAAGTCAGTTAATCCTGACCAGAGGAAAAAAGCCCAAAGAAGAAGAGAGCTCTACTCCCTGATTGGCCGGAACAGAAAACAGGAATTCAGCCCCTCTGGCCAGCTTGTTGTACACAGCAAAAACACCAAGTTTCTGTTGCCTTTGGGCTTCAGCTTGAATCCAAATCTACTCCATTTAGTAATCATCTTCCTTCTCTGTGTATTACAGGAGCTGTGACATTTTGGAGTAATTCAAACTTTTGCCAGATGTTGCGTTTGATCTGGTTTTAATTTCAGCACCCGATTGGTGCCTGGTTTTAGGATTCTTACTGCTGCCGGTTGAATCTCTGGGTTTGTGCTGGTTCAGGTGTGTGTGAAGCAAAGCGTGAAAACGAGCTGCCAAATGGCGGCGTTGGGCGGCTCAGGAGGAGGCAGGAGAGTTACCTCTCCGGCGAAGAACAGCTTTCCCTGCACGTCCTCGGCCAGCACGTCGTAGGCCTCCCCGCTGCCGCCCGTCTTCACAAAGCTGTAGGACATCTGAGACCACCTGTCTTTGCTCCAGTGGGTCACAAAGTAGTTCACAGGGTCTGGGACGTCCTGTGGGAGGAAGAGGACCTTTAATCCACAAGCGGAGGGGAAATCCCATCCAAAATGAGGCGAGACAGGTTTATGTTACAGTTTGAGTTTTGTGTCCACGACAACTCAAAGTACCTTACATTTTAAAAGCAGACAATGAAGATAAAGAAAACAAATAAAAATAAGTTTAACCACATAAAATAAATAGATTAAAGGCTAAAAAAAATTCAGCTGTAGTAACCCTGTTTCACCTCTTCAAGAAGACCGATTCAGATTTGAGGAGCATCAAACTGAAATGAAGCCTCTCCTGGTTTGGTTCTGACCTCTAAGAAATCAGGTGTGTTTTAAGCTGCATAGTTTATGGTTCTGATGCTGATAAATATGAGAGAAGTGGCCCAAAGAGCCGATCATCACAGGGAGGGCTGAGGGTGATCCCTCCACAGGGATGAATGGAGATACAAGCAGAGGTCGGGGCTGTGGGGCCAGGAAAGGGTTAATAACCCTTTAGTTTTCTACCCTTCCATCATCCATCGCTTATCTGTGGTCGGGTTGGGGGGAAGCATCTTAAGCAGGGAGATGGTTCAACTGGGGAATGATACACTTGAGTTTAGATGTCTTAACTGAGTTTATGCAGCGTCCAATCAGATCTCCAACATGATAATAATGAGTCTGCATACCCCTCAGCATGTAGCTAGTTGCTCCCCTGGTAGTCTCAGCTGACCCTTGACCCTCTATGCTGTGGCCGACCGGACCCCTGACCGGTGCTCACCTGCTCGGGGAAAAGCTCCCTCAGGACCTTCAGGCACTCTCCCACCACCTCCTGGTCCTCCAGCTCGCAGACAGCAGGAACGGCGTCGCCAGAGATGACCGACATCAACACCGCCTGCTTCCCCTGTTGGACACAGTTACATCAGCCAGGGCCTCAAAGGGTCTGAGCTTGGTTTCAGGGATCGGATACCCAGAACCTCACAGGACTGGGTCCTTCATTCTCCTCCCAGTCTAAACACACACATCTGGAGCAGATACTCAGACTCCCATGATGCCTCAGTGACCCTGAGGGGGAGGAGCCGACCCTCTGATCCAGAACCAGTCGGCTCCTCCTTGGTCATGGCTTTAAAAACACACCTGAGGGTCCAGGTCGTAGAAGACGCTGAACAGGCCTCGCTTTTCCGGTGCCGGCGGGATGTGACCAAAGTAGTCGGCTCCCTGGATCTTGGAGTCCCAGAACCGGGTCGGGAACTGCAGAGCGATCTGCGGGACGTTCGGACTGAGGTTTAGCTGCTGGGCACCGACAGCCTCTGGAGGCGGGCCGGCGGGGATGGGAGGTACCTTTTCGATGATGCCGGCTCCCAAGCTGTGGATGGCCTTCAGCTTCCTCTCAGGAAGGGGGGGGTGGAAGTGGAGGAGGCCCCTCTGGAGCAGGGTCAGCGGGACGGTGACCAGAACCTGGAAGAGAAAGCAGCCCGATGAGGACTGGATCCATGAACAGAACCTGCCCTGAATCAAACGTATTTCTGTCCCCCATATCATCCTGTCCTGGTTTTGGTTCTGATTAACTTTTTCCCTAGTTCTGATGGAGGTTTCTTCTGGTTCTGATGGAGGTTTGTTCCTGGTTCTGGTCCTGATGGAGATCTCTTCCTGGTTCTGCTGGTGTCCTTGGTTATGAACGAGCTGGACCCATTTGGAATACCTGGATCCTGACGGCTTAACTGAACCGGATCAGAGGTGAAATCTTTTGTCATCTGCTGCTTTAGAGATCAACCTGAACCCAGAGCCTTTGGTCCTGTAACCCAGTGGGCCGGTTTCAGAGCCTCTACCTTCTGGGCCGTCCACTGCGACGCGTTTGATGAGGTCACTTTCACGAGGTCCCCCGAGTAATCCATCGTCTGGACCTGTCCTTTCCTAGAAGACAAAGTTTAGTGAGGAAGAAATCTGTGGACCAGCTGAGCCATCGACAGCTGTACATAAATACCATCAGTTCAACCACAACGATGTCATCAAACTATGCTCCTGAAATGGACACATTTCCTTTTCCCTCCTCATTTGGATCCTGTCAGGTTCTAAATTTGAGGGAACCTAAAGAGACAACAGGATCATGTGACAGAAGACACTGTCTGGTTTATTTATGGAACAAAAACTGAGAGCAGACCCAAAGCAGCCAGTTTAGAAACTGGTTTCTGGTGGTCTCTCAGTCTCTGCGATGGCTGTGGAGGACTTTTGTCCCTCTCTGCTGCCTGTAGCTATTCAGCTCATGGAGGTTCCTGCACGGCTCTGCTGCCGGGTTTGGATCTCAGTCCTGTTAGGGGGCTGGCTCCAGCTTCAGCTGTGGGACAGACGGCCTCCAGTCTGACTCTGAACACTTTGGGTTCCTGGGGGGTTCCTGGTGGACTTTAAGGTCCTGGTGCTGCAGAACCTGCTCGGATCATCTGGGATGGATGAGCTAGGGGTGACCTTGTTGGACAAACTGGCAGCCATCCTGAATGTCTTCACCTGTGAATAAACTCTCTCTCTAAGGGGTGGTGGAATCCAGATGACTCTTAGGTTATGGCTGATGTCTTTCCTCCTTGACATTGTGTAAACACACTCCTGCTCCAGACTCCTGAATTTTGCTAAATAATTAACTGAACGAGAGGCGTTTTTGCTTTCTTGGTTTATATCGAACTCGTTTTGTTTGTGGACGGGATTCGTTTTCATCGTTCCCGCGCAAGTAAAACCCCAGAAATCAAAAGATGGTGGAGCCCCACTTTCACATTTTTCTAGAGACGGCCAAAGTAAACTTTATTATTGTGTAATACCGCGTTAGAAGGTAAGGCAGCTGCTAGCTTTATGTTTTAAGCATGCGTCCTCAGCTAAAGACAAACAGGAGAATTGTGTAGCTACCCGCAGATTCATGAGCCACGTTATCCCCGCCGCCGTCCATTCCGTCTCATTTAGAGAGAACCGCTCCGCGTCCACAGCTGCTTCCAGACACTTCTTCGTCCTCGTCTCGTAAGGTCTTCTTAGTTTGCAGCCCGTTGGTATTTTTTATTCCTTAAAGAGCGACCGTCCAGCGTTAAAACCAGTCCCTCCGGTTTATTAGGGGGGTGGGGAGGACCCACAGCATGTTTACCCTCAGCGTCCGGACTGCAAATGAAGCGCGCATGCGCCGGGATTGACGGCCGAAATGATCACGCGGTGCCGCTCCGCCCCTGCCGCACATCACGTCACGTGGCAGATTATGCAAATTAGGCGATGACGTCATTTGGCGACTTCTAGCGACTTTTAGCAGAGCCAATAGCTACTTTCCTTACTGAGGAGTTGGCAACACTGGGTGGGCGGAGTCTTCCAGTCGGTCAGGAAGGGGAGAAAAGGGGACAGAGAAACATTAAGGTATATATATGTTATTTTTATCAGCAAGAGCTTTCAAACCTTCCAACAACTCTCTGTTCAGGCACACAATTCTATAAACGTTACCGTAAACGTTGTTATGGTTTAACGCGGAATAGTTTCAATGACGGCGTTCAGAAACATGGGAAACACCGTTAGCTTTACTGTTAGCAAACCTGTCTGGTTTGACAGGCCCAGACTGCACTGTAAAACCTGTCAGCAGGAATGCAGACATACTATGGAAATATGAATTCTTACGCTTTACACACGGTTTATTCTGCATGTTGGTCACCTGGTTCATTCTTGTTTTGGACGTCTATCTTATCGCACATCCCAAAAATGTAGTGATTCAGAGTGATCGAACTGGTGGCCTTACTAACGTTGTCCGAGTGGAGACAAGTGCCAGTCAAGCGGGGTAACTAGTGATTTGTAACAGGTCCAATTTGTCATTATTCAGCCGGGGTGGACTGACTGTCTGCTTTCCTGAGTTTGTGCACAGTTCCGTTTAGTTGTTGCACAAACAATAAGCTGTGTATGGCCTTTTTCAGGGATGGCTGCAATCAGGAAGAAGTTGGTGATTGTTGGGGATGGTGCTTGTGGGAAGACCTGTCTGCTCATCGTGTTCAGTAAGGACCAGTTCCCAGAGGTTTACGTCCCCACAGTGTTTGAGAATTATGTGGCGGACATTGAAGTGGATGGAAAACAGGTGAGAGATGCTGTAACACAGGCTGAGATATGTAGGATTGCAGAAGGAAATAGCATTTTTAAATCAAATGAAGCAGTTATAGTTGTTTTTTTAATAGTTAAATTAATTTTTTCTGGTCATCATGAGCAAACAAAACAAAAAAGTAAACAAAAAGAAGTAATGCATTTTTCTGGTCATCATGAGCAAACAAAACAAAAAAGTAAACAAAAAGAAGTAATGCTTACTTAGTCAATTTTGTTTTTATGCAGCTTAAAGTCTGTTTGCCTTCTTGCAGGTGGAGCTGGCACTTTGGGACACAGCAGGGCAGGAAGACTATGACCGGCTGAGGCCTCTCTCCTACCCTGACACCGATGTTATCCTCATGTGCTTCTCTGTTGACAGTCCTGACAGTTTAGGTGACAGTTTATATCCAGAAAACACTTGTCCCGCTCTGTATTTAACACATTACAAATAAATTTACACCAGTCTAACTTTTCAATCTCCCCGCTGCAGAGAATATTCCAGAAAAGTGGACTCCTGAAGTAAAACACTTTTGTCCTAATGTTCCCATCATTTTGGTCGGCAACAAAAAGGATCTTCGCAACGATGAGCACACTCGACGAGAACTTGCAAAAATGAAACAGGTTTTTAAATTTCTCTTATTTTAAAATCTCAACGTTGTTACACTCTATGCATGCCGGTTTTACTAGAAATGTTAAAATTCCACTGATTTCATTTCATGTGTTTTCAGGAGCCAGTTAAATTTGAAGATGGCAAAGAGATGGCAAACCGCATCAGTGCCTATGGCTACCAGGAGTGTTCTGCCAAAACCAAAGATGGTGTCAGGGAAGTCTTTGAGATGGCAACTAGGGCCGCGTTGCAGGCCAAGAAAAACAGGAAGAAGCCCATTTGTGTACTTTTATAGGCTGCAGGAAGAGGGAGAGCTATCCTCAAGCACAGATGAAGAAGGCTGCTTCCACTGACATGTCATGTGGGGGGTATGGGTGTGTGGGTGGGCCAGAAAAGTTGCTCAATTTCAGATCACCTGATTACAGTCAGCAGGTCGATGCCAACCTGAAACGATTCGACATGCTTCTAGATTCTGCTTCTTGGTTTATGAATAAAGTGATGCCAATTATTTGGCTCATGTTAAACCATTTTAATTTTACACTATTGTGTTAGATTTTCTGGGAAGGTTGTATGGTCAGGACAAGGATTTGAAGTTGAGCAGTTTTAAATGGGATTGATTTGTGCCATCAGGGGAAACAATAAAGAAAAGGTCCTTACCAGGCCAAAGATAATGGAAGTGACAGAAAAGACATACATTTAGCCAATGTTTGAGGTAAGGCCAAGTCTAAGCGGATCTTACACGCCTACGTGTAGTGCCTTGGGAGCAGTGGTTCAGATTAATGAGTTGCGGGGTAAAGATTCCTGACTCTAATAGGGTATTGTTTGTTGTGTCCACTCATGTTTTTCAACCCTTTTCTCCCTGTCACTGGCTTGGCTCCTTCAGGCCCATTTTCTGACTCAGGCACCATGCAGGGGTTTGCCTGAACTAGATTGTATGAGACATGTTCCCATACTGTATTACTTACCTGTAATTTTAGAGTGCGTGTATGCAACTGTATGGTAGTCTCTTTTTCTCTCCAGTGCAGCTCTGCATGCGATGAATGTGTGTATATTTGTGTGATTGTGTGTATTGATAACATATGTGTCATGTACTGTATTCATGGAAAGGCCTTCTGCAACACTGACCTAACTCTTTGTTTTCATGCCAAAGTTACCCCTGTTGGCCACAGCTGAAGGTCCAGAGGGGTAATGAAATTAACAGCTACTCAGAGTGACATAGAAACTTTTACTTTACTGGAAAACATTGTACTACAGCAAGAGGCACAATCAGGTTAACCTCAGTTTTAGGATGTTTTTGTGTATACCATATTGATTTGTGTAAATCAGTAGGTGAAATCATAAGCAGTGTAGTTGAAAAGTTTCATATTCTTTCAAATAGATGATAGGCTTATCTTATTACTATGTCCATTATGTACTATATGTCTAGCAGGTTCTTGTAAGGACATGTTCATGATGTGTATTTCACGTTTGCCTTGTTCTCCATGCTCCCCATTCCCTTTAAATGACATTGTCATTGTTGCATTATGTAACTTTTTATCGTTGATGTCAAAAATGTTTTGAGTACATTTTAATCAGTTTACTTAATCCTGCTGTTATGATCACTTTATGTGAGTTTAATAATAAATTTTAACAATTGCATTGTTTCATTTGATTGATAGTAATCAAGGCCATGCTAAAAGGTTTTGGGAATTGAGTGAGAGCGGTTGTTTTCTTTTTCTTTTTTTTAAATCACATTTTTAAAATGTGTTTGATTTTTATTACTGTTATATATAAACAGAATTTCTGACCGCCCCCTCCCTGTTGGCTAAAATAAAGCTGGTGTTTGGGTTTTCTGTTTAAAGGTATTTATATGTTATTAGATCTGTTCATGCATAAATAATTGCAACAATGCCCTATATATTTTGGCATTAACTTACCTTTTCCCAAATAAAACACTCATAACCCGTTTGAAATATACGTTTCTTTGATTATATATTTGTTAAGAAGATATTATGACAAAGTCATGGTTATAGAGCATCATGGTATTGTCATAATTTATTTAAGTTCTAAAACCACAAAACCTTATTCAGCCCACAATCGGTTCAAGTAATTATGTCTGGTGTTTTAAATGATTGTTACATTTTACATAAACATTGTAATCTAGTGCTCTTATCTAAGAGCAGTAAACCCTAGGAAGTCATAAAAATAAATCAGTACTATCCAAACTTAAAGGAATATAAAAATGGATGCTCTGTATGTACAGACATTTAGGTTGTGCCGGATGTATAAGTACAATTATTGTTAATGCTGAACATTTGAAACCCACAGTGATTGCACTGAAAATTAAATGCAGATTTAGTTGAATCCGTATATTGTTATTTTCAAAGTCAAAATATTTTCTATATTCGCCTTAGCGAAAAAGTGATTAAGACTTTATAATTATCCATTTATGTATATCAATCTGCCAGATACGGACATGCAAAGCCATTTCAATCTAATAAAAATTCACGTTCTCTCAATTTCTCGGTGATGAAGTTTTGGAGTCCTGGACTGACCTGTTTGTCTCCTCCAATCAGAATTGATATTTGTTTTTTCACGGTGTATAAACCAATCGAAGAGCAGAGGTAAGGGTTAGTCCCACCTTCTCTGATTTGTCTTGCTGAGGCCATTTTACACTTTGATTCACTGAAAAATATACGCCCCTGTCACCTGGACTTCAATGTGACATTTCAGGACCGATTGCTGTTGACGTGAGGTTCTGGTATTTGTTTATTTTACTCTGCAGAAGACTGCTGTTGTGTTTGTAATGGCTGACAGCCGTGTGTTACAGCCTATCTAGCTTGGACTAGCCATTGCTCAGGCTGCAGCAATTAGCTTGACTGCTAACAGAGATGACCGCTGCACGTCATTGTTAAATACTCATATTTACATATTAGACACGGATACCTGCCTTGCGCTCATCGAAGTTATGTTTATTAGCAATGCTACGTTTTTGCTTCAGATATTTTCTTGCTTGTTGGTTTGCAGTTTAGCAGTTATAGCTAATTCATTACTGAAAACTTGAAGTCTGTCCATTGTGCACCCCCCAAAAAATGTTAAAAATGTAGCTGGCCTTGTCGATGAATTCCTTTCACACCACTTAAACATAGGCTACATATCAATGAAATAATTACTTATGAGTTTTAACTATAATAGCCCTTCTGTCCACTGTACAGCCGTGATGATGCTCACGATTGTCATTACTGTTTCAGGTCCAAGAACGTCAACCAGAAAATAATTTACACAAGCAACTGGGTCGGCATGGCCTTTGAGCGGAGGTGAGCATAATTGGAAACTTTTCTGGCTTTTTTTCCATATTCAGATATGGTTTCTGACACCTACTTTTGTCATCAGCAGGGTTGGGCGAGGTGATCGAATGGGTCGCTATGGCAACACACACAATGATCACAACTTTCGGGACATGGACTACCGTGGTTATGAGCTAGAGGATGAGGACTCAGGAAGAGAGCACGATGTTGGATTGGATGGGGAGCTGTATAGCCACAATGAGCAGTCAGTTGGGGTACATGACTTTCCATCAGGATTTCTTCAAGACCATCAGGGGTTACATCAAAGAGGTAATGGTAGAGGAGCCATCGGACTGGAGGGGAAGGGTCTCCTGTGGCCCCCCAGCTCTCAGTCACACCCTGATCTTGCCAATCCCATTCTGCAAAGAGAGGAAGATGGAGCTAGGCCAGAGTTTGAGCAATTAAAGTTTGGCCTGCAAGAAAGGGGTCGTGGAAAAGGCGGCAGAGGTTTTCTGGAGAACAGTGGTCCAAATTCAGGAAGCAGGGAGGGCAACTGGGGTCATGTTGGCATCCACCTTGAGCAGATGGAATTCGGTATGGGCAGAAAGAAAGAGGAGGAACAGTTCTCTCATGGGATGGGAATAAGGGGGGTAAGTTTTTATAGGACCACACTCTCAAATAAAAAAAAGTTGTTTTTTTTGGTTCATGGCATCAGTTGCTAATTCACATATTTATGCAGACTTTTCCAGGGATGCCAGAAGAGCAAGGATGTGGAATTGCTGGTCCAGACTTCTCCTTTGAGGAGTTGGAGCAGAGGGACCAGGACTACCGTGCAGATCCGGACCACAACCAGAGACCCAGCAACATCATCATGCTTCGCATGCTGCCACCTAGTGCCACTGCAAACGAGGTGTGAAGATTCACTTTGTGATGCATGCTGTACTGAACGGGACTGGGTGGTACATGTATTGATTTTTGGTTCATTCTGCTGAAATAAAATTTTCATTTCTGTTCATAGATCCGGGCACAACTTCAGGAGCAGGGAATCCAACCAAGAGAGGTTCGCCTTATGAGGAATAAATCTTCAGGTGAGGATTTGATGGTTCGCAGTTTTTGCTTTGCGCTTCACTCTCCTTGCGTCAGTTTCACCCGTTGTCAGACCGGTCATTTTCATCATGCTTTCTCTTTATTTTCCTTTTTATATTCTGTGTTGTCTGTTTTATGAGTGTACTTTGACTTTCAAAGCATTTAGCAGGGGACGTCTGTCTGTCTGTCTCTATTTATCTATAGCATGTGCACTTTTACACTTTTGCCTCAGTACTTTTATTCTGGTGTCTGTACTTTTTCCAGCGCTCGCAGTACATCAGCGTTTTAATTCTATAGAGAAAGATTAAGCCTTTGGTACTGCATGCACTCAGCCAGGTTCAATTCATTTTTTCAATTTTCCCTTCGGCCTTGGCTGTCATGTTGTCTTTATCATTTTTCTCATGTTGCTTCATCCATCCTGAGTAGATGAATATTGTTCACAGGCCAATTGTCCCAAAAGGTTAATAAATGTCTTAAGAAAAGCGTGTTTGTATCATTGTAGTTAATTTTGAGTGTGAAAATGAAGATGGGTGTGAAAATTTCCGCACGAGTGTCATCCATATTGCTTTTTTTCTTTACTTTTTGAAAAATTTGCCACCGATCTCACACTTCACTAACTTCCTGGTTGTCTGTAAGGTGTGCCGTTCTGACACTGGCACACTTACACTCCCTAACTCTTCACTGTCTCTCTTACACCTACATTCTGTTTTAGGATGCGTTAACTCTCATAATGATTACCTTTTTGCAGTTGTGTGAGTAGATTTGAAAACCTGAATAAGTCTTGTACTGTTACCTGTCATGTCTTGAATTGCATGCTCAGAATACTGAGTGTTTAAAATGAGACATTCATCCACAGCTCTAGTCTAGATGATCGCACTCTGACCCATAAACTAGCTGTGATATTTTTGTGTGCTTGTGTGTTTGTGTGGTTTGTTGGTGGTGCCTGGGTGCTTCATCATTGAAATCCAAACAGCTCAGGCTCAGACTGATGAGTGGCTAGGATTCTCTCTCTCCTCCTCTTTCCTTGACCCTGTTGAGTTTCCTGACTTTGCATCCTCCCAGCCTGACAGAGAATTTGAGAGGGAGGGAAGATGCAATGCTAGATTTTATAAGTGCTGATACAGGGTCTCTCTCATCTCTGTACATGAAGCACTAACCCCAACACTGCGTTGTTGTTATGTTGTTGTTGTTGTTGTTCGGTTGCCATGGCGCTGGGCGGTGTCCAGGTCAGAGCCGAGGATTCGCCTTCGTCGAGTTTAATCTCATACAGGAGGCCACCCGCTGGATGGAGACCAACCAGGTCACTCTCTCCTACACAGACACAAATACACTTATAGATTCATTCAGTGGGACACATTAATTTGATATACAGCCACGTCATGCTGCCACGTGGCCATGTTTCCAGTGAAGCATAAAAATACAGAGGTGTCTGAGGTAGGTAGGCCTTCCTGTTTTAAGGGAAATGTCATCTTTTGTTCAAATTTGATTTATTTTGTTTGTTTGTTTTTTTAAACTACACACAAAAATCCCAAATCCTCAAATTCATGTCACACCTCTGCTTTAATCTTTTCCACCCAAGATCCAGTGACCTAATATTCCTAAATGGACCCTCCCAGCCACATTCGTCCGGCATTTGTCAAGTATTGCCTCCTCCTTTTAAAAGAGGAGTCCGCTTTCTTCAGTGACCTCTCCTTCCTAAGTTTGCGGTAGCACGTCTTTGACCTGATATGGTGAATCAGAGGCAACATACTTTCTTGTTTCTTTTTAAGTTTTCTGTTAGTATAGAAAAAAGTTATTGTCTCTTTAAAGGACAAAAGTGGTGACACTTGTTCAGGGTGTGTGGAAAACTGTGAAAGGTTTCCCCTTAAGGGGGGAGGGATGACACGGCTGAACTAAAAAAAATAGGTGTCCTTAAAAACGGACACTTGCAAAAAACATGTACACCATCTGAGTCTGTCCGAATTTCCCAAAGCTGAAGGTTGCAATTCTCTGGTGTTATCTTCCTTTCAGCCTCGACTGTACTGTTTCTCTCTCTCTCCCTCTGTCCTTTCTTCCCTTTAACTCTCTCTCTCATGTGAGATGAGGCCTTTCTGTGGCATGCGTGGCCTAATTAGCACTGATAGTGGCTCTTTGTTCTCCCTCTTCCTATTTCTTTTTCCTTCAGGGAGTGCTGTCGATTCTGGGGCAGAGAGTTTCCATGCACTACAGCGAACCGAAACCACGAGCCAATGAGGACTGGCTCTGCAACAAGGTTGTGTGTGTTTGCATTGTCTGGCATGAAAACCTGACTGGCTTGCATACGTGGCACTTACTATAGCACCTCATTTAAGAAGTCTTCTAACAGTAGTTCATGTAACGTTTCAACAGTGTGGTGTGCAAAACTTTAAAAGGAGAGAAAAGTGCTTCAAATGCAGTGTGCCTAAATCAGGTAAAGTTTAATGTTGCTATTGTAGATATCGGAGCTTCCTTTTTTTAAATTTTCTGTTTTTAGTAATTCAGATATGTCATGTTGTGTTTCTGCAGAGGCTGAACTGAAGCTACCACAACTGCAGAGGGATTTGCCAGTTGGTCTTCAAAAAGAGGGAACCCAAGGTTTACTGCCCCTGCCAGCACCCTACCAGTCGCCGGGAGTCAGTGTCACTGCAGGGCAGGCTGCACAGCAGCCAGATGTTGCCAATGACAGTAAGCACATAAGATGGCCTTTTCCATGTATCACACCTTTAGCCGAACATCTGTAAGTTTTGAGTTTTTGTTTAATGGGCCATGTTTCTGTGTTCTCCTGAAACACTGTTCAATTATTATGACTACATTATTATTACTATATTTACAGTTCAGTACTGAACACCATGGGATATTTGGTTTCACAAATTGGTGTTCTTTGAAAAATGTGTTTACATTTTTAATCCTCTTTTTTTTCGACAGCTCTAATTCTTAGAAATCTTGGTCCTCACACCTCAGTGGAAGCCATTTTGGCTGCCTTGGCTCCATTTGCCACACTCTCCCCATCCAATGTTCGCCTAATCAAAGACAAGCACACACACCTTAACAGGGGCTTCGCCTTTCTGCAGCTCTCTACAATAGTGGTGAGATCCAAAATGGCACACACATGCGTTATCGACTCCGTTTACGCTGACCTTTATAATAGTATGGTTGTTTTCATGTGGAGTTATCCATCAGAAACTTTGAAAAAAAAATGTTTTAACTTTTGTATACACGGGATTTTGAAATCTGCTGAGTAATAAACGTGCACCCACACCTAATGCAAACGGTGTGTTTTAACAGGAGGCGTCACAGCTTCTGCAGATCCTGCAGGCACTCCAACCAGCTCTCTCTATTGATGGGAAAGCTATTGTCGTGGAGTTTGCCAAAGGTTCTAAACGGTAAATTCTCACAGTGCATTATATGTCTATTTTTTCGCCGGTGGCCATATTGTAGCAAAGGCATCACAGCTTTCATGATCGGAAATCAAAAGAACTTAGTGTTGTACATTTAGAGGGAGTAAAATCAGGTTGAGAGTCACTGTTAAAATGAATACTGTATATATGAGATGTTAATTCACTGAAGCCCTCCCTGTGCCTCTTTTGGTGTTAGTGATGTCTTTGTGACTGATGGTAGCAGAGTGAGTGCTGCGACAGTCGCCAGCACAGCAATAGCTGCTGCACAGTGGGCTGTGACACAGGTAACCAGTTTGAGTTGCATTTGTGGGAAAGGGCAATGTATTTTTTATTTTTTATTTCATGTTGTATCCATTTACAGTTTTTACTGATTTATTATTTTTCTTATTGATGATGGTTTTTCCTTCCCTGTACATATCTTTTCAGAACACCCAGAATGGAGCAGATCAGAGTGCAGGGTCAGCTGTGTATCAGCAGGGGGCAGCAGTGAGCTACAGTCAGGAAGGGCACGACGTGGGGCCAGATGCAACAACCCCTAAGACCCAAGCAGACACCAGGGTTGCTGGCTTGCCAAGTGCGGGACCATCCCTGAATGGCACATTTACAACTGGAGGTGTCCCAGGTTAGTTTTAACCTATACATTTCAATCCGAACAGCAGTTCTTCCTGTAATGTATTCATTTGTTTGAGTGTTTGTATTTGTTCACTTGCAGCTGTCATTACATCTGATGCAGTGAAGGCTGCTCCTGCAGTTCTTCAGCTGCCTCTGTCTCATCCACAGACTGCTCTCATCCCCACAACTGCTGCCACACCAGCTACACAGGTACCACACTTATTTTTGCTTTCCTCTTTTTTTATGGTGCCGTTATGATCTTTCAACAGCTGCATCTTATCACAGGTCGAGATTGTTGGAAAACCCCAGCCAGCTGCTCCCAGTCAACCGGCCACCCCGGGCACTGAGCATGAGCTTAAGGAATACCGTAAGGCTGTGTGCCATCTTCAGTCATGACTGCAAACAAATAAGCTATGCATTAATCTGAGTTTTGTGTTGCTAAATAACTGTGAAGCTTTCTGTTAATTTGCAGTGGTTGATTCTGGAATATCAGATATCAGTTGTATCTTTATAAAGTGAGTGTTGTTTGTATATGCAGCTGTTCCAGATGTGTCCACATATCAGTATGATGAGAGCTCTGGCTACTATTATGACCACTTCACTGGGCTCTACTATGACGCCAATTCACAGGTAAGGAATCATCTATGAATGGACATTGGTTTAAATCTTCAACGGGCACTCTTTATGTGTGAGTGAATGCTTTCCTCAGCAGCTTTTGTTTTCTTCTTCGCAGTACTACTACAACTCTCACAATCAGCAGTACATGTACTGGGACGGAGAGAAAAACACCTACATTCCTGCTGCTAACCAATCAGCTGCTGAAGGTAGTCCATCAAAGGATGGTGCAGCCTCTTCAGACTCAGTGCTTTCCAGCTCTGGAAGCAAGGAGAAAAAGGACAAACCCAAGAATAAAACTGCTCAACAGGTATTCTGATTATTTCATAGAAGTTAACCTACTGTGATGTTCAAGAAGGGGGGGACAAAGAGATACTGTTTAATTTTCATTTAAATTCAGTCTTGTTTTTTCAGTCCATTTGCTAACTTTGTTATTTTGTAATTAAATGTGGATATTGCATATTTCTACATCTTTTTGAAAAGGATCAATATTTTGAATATTATAAATTGCAGACTTAAATGAACCATTGTTTAAAAAAATACTTTGGCTATTGTTTTACAACCTTGCAATATGACTTTGCCCCCCTTTTTTCAAATGGAATTCTATTTTATGTTTGAAATTGATCCCTGCTTGTTTATATTTTTAGATTGCCAAAGATATGGAGCGTTGGGCTAAGAGTCTTAACAGACAAAAGGAGAACATGCGTTCTGTCTCTTCGTCTCCTGCTGTGGGCTCCACAACACTCCCCCCAGGTTACACACGAGCACACAGTCGCCTCGATGACCACAGAGAGTCTGCGAGCGCTGATGCAGGCTATGCCGTTCTGGAGAAGAAGGTGCTGGAATTTAATGCAGACACATTCTTACCATGAAAGCAGGGGGTTGGTGGGGGAATACATTTTGAATTGCCATAAAAAGCTAATCTCTAAGCAGTCTTACTTACAAACATTTCTGTCCCGCAGGGTGCTCTGTCTGAGAGGCCTCAGAGTTTCCTGGACCAGATTCGACATAGTACAGAAGTAAGGACACAGCCAAATGCTTCGCACTTTTTCATTTGTGTTTTCTCACAGTGTTGTTATGATAATAGGTGTAATGGTAAGAGGTAGAGATGCTTTTTTATTTCCTGCTGTCCCATCTTTAAGTATAATGTCATCACCTGATGGTGTGTCTCTCCTCAGTCACCCCCCCATCAGCTGGGTCTGGTCCCAGCCTACAGTGCAGAAAGTGACAGTGAAGAGGAAGGCGGTGAGAAAGATGACAAGGAAGAGAGAATGACGGACTGGGTTAAGCTGGCCTGTCTGCTCTGTAGAAGGCAGTTCCCAAGCAAGGAGGCCCTCATAAGGCATCAGCAGCTCTCTGAACTCCATAAGGTGATTTGAATCTAACTGTACACAAACAGACACTTGACAAATATTAAAATGCATCTTTCAGTGCATCTGTTAGGGTTGCATAGCAGTAGTCCTGATCTTTTTTTGTTGTAATTTTTTTGAAAGATCAGTTCTTTGCTGACCTTCTTATAGGTGCTATGCATCAACATATTAATGCAACTCAGCAGCAGTGCAACTGTTTATGAATGTCTCTTAATTTGTTTTATTGATTTTAAGGTAGTTCACTAAAAATAGTTTAACTTCCTTTTGTATAGAAGTTCTGTGTACACTAGGATTATTGAGAGAAACTTGACTCTTTGCCACATTTTTCTAGCAAAACTTGGAGCAGAGAAAGGTCCAACTGGAGGCTCTTGGCAAAGAGGTTGGTCAAATACAGTTCTCTATTTATCATAGATAAATTTGGATTGCAGCGTGATTACTCTAATTTCTTTCTTGTTGGTATTTCACAATAAATATGTACATGTATACATTGCAGAGAACAGTGGGTGGATCAGAACCTCCAGATGCTAAGAAGAGAAAGTTCAGCCCTGTGTAAGCAACAGCTATTTTGATGTTGTGTAGCTCTGTTACTGATGCATTTAAGCAGTCATTGTTTTTTCTTTTTAGAGATGGCTTTACAGGTACTAGTCTTGGCGCAAGGATGCTGCAGGGAGGTGTGAAAAGAGGGCTTCTGCTACGCAACATGGAAGTGGATTAACCCTGCTCTTTGAACTTCTTGACCAAGAAAGGACAAAGCTCAGCTTGACATTGTTCAACGTTATCATCACACAGATATCCATTTAAATCTTTATTTTGAGTGGACAATAGAATTACCTCAAGAATGCTAACACTCAGTGGTAGTAATCCCATGAACTGATCATGTAGCAGTAGTTGTCAGAATATTGCACAAATTGCACCTTTTTGCTCGCTTCCAAAATAATTCATTTTTAATTTCTCGCTAAATTCAGGTTGTTTGATAAAAAAGGTCTCTGTTGGTGGGAAAACATTTCCTGTTTGATGATGAGGTCAGTACAAGATGTGAGCAAATCGTCATTTCTAACATTGTTGTCTATGCACCATAGATTGTTTTTCCTTTAGTTTTTTTCCTATGTTAATGCTGAATACCTTGTCATTCAATGAATGACTAAAATGGGCTTGAACTCTGTACATTTTAGAAGAAGCACTTTTATACAACCAGCGAGGCTGTGAGTCTGTGGCCTGAACAGGACAAGATACACAGGAAGTGTTTCAGTTTAACACATGGCTGGTATGAATTAACAACATAATACACACTTATCTTGGAGAAAGAGTTATTTTATTTTTTGTATTTGGCCATTAATATGACTGCTTCACTAAGCTCATGTAAATGAATTCATAAAGCACGTTTCATCTTTTTTGTTGTTGTCTTTTATGAGCGAGCCATTACACAATTTCTAATATTTACACATTTTTACCTCAAGTTTCCAAATGCTTATTTTTCCCCACCGAAAAAGAGGAATGTAACACTGTCAACAAGGTTTAATGCAAACTCACTACTGGGGAAAGCCTTTTTCTACATTTCATTCGGTTTTTATGGCCTCGTCTACATACGTGTTTCCATAGTAACGCCAGCAAACACTTATCGAGGACTTTGCACATTAACGGAAAGAAAGCTTACATTTAATTACAAGCTAAACCTCATATAAATGAGGTTATTAAAGACACAATAGTTGGTGGTTACATTTTGTTTCGTCGAAATATAAGAGGTGGATATCAGCACGGAGTGGTATCACAGTTAGTTAATTAGCCAAAATGTCTGACGTGGACGAAGATGTAGGTAACTCTGATGCAGAATGGGAGGAAGGCACCCTTACAGGACTCGGAGAGGACGAGAAGGTAAGACAAGAGTACTCAGGCAATAAACGCCTGTGTTTTATTTCTGAGACAGAGCAAACTGCGACCAAACGGTGCTGGCACAGGACCTGAAAACGGGGGCCCTCATTTCTAAGGGTACAAAAAGTACCGGCCAACCACTTCCAAACGTGATAATGATCATGGTTCTTGTATTGATTACACCCTGAATTATGGAAAATAACATGCTGGCGTCACCCACTGGCAGATTTACTGAAGTTGATGATCAACTCATTCCAAAAAAATATCCAATAAATAGATAAGAATGTGTCCCACATAAAATACCGAATAGCAGTTTTTTTGTGTGAGATTATTTGAAACAAAAAAACAGCATATATTGCAGCCAGTCAACCAGTCTTAGAGCCCTTTGTAATTTTAACCCACTGATTGTACAGTTGAGTATTACTCATGTAAGCATTGTTTCTGCTCACAACAGATACAAGTTAACCATTTGACCAAAGAAATGATAAGTGAGGGGCTTTCCCTACTTTGCCGAACAGGGAATAAACTTGAGCATGCTTTTGTAAAACTGGACCTTCAAGACAAGTAAGTAAACACATATTCGGAGCCTTTGCTGAGTCAACTCAATGTGAAAATCTTTTTTTTTTGTTTCTTTTGAAGCTATACTTTTTACTTGCTGTACTCCTCAGAGAACTGGACGACATAACTGTGATTAGAAGTTATATTCACATTCGTTTCCTGGACCTGTCCAACAACCACATCATAGATCTTTCTGCTCTCTCATCTCTAAACCACCTGCTTTGGTTGAAGGCAAGAGTTTTTTAAATTTTTTATATTCAGGCATTTCTTTGGCTGTCCCTTTTACCGGTTGTAAATTTTGAATGCAATTCTTCTGCAGGTTGACAAAAATGCTGTGTCATCCTTCAAGGGGCAACCCTTTTCTGAGCTGACCTATTTGCAGTGGTTGAGTATGGCAGTGAATCGGCTAACAGACATCGATGGCCTGGTTGGGCCATCCCTGGAAACGCTTAACCTCAAAGGTTGCTTGTTTGATTTTATGTCCAATATAGTGAGCGCACATAGCTCTTTTCTGGTATGTAATGAACAACCCATCTGATTTGAGGATCATGTGGTTTAACAGAAAGGTTTCAGTCAAACATTATTAGAGAACCTATAACAATTTTAAAGACATTTTAAAACCTTGCATGCAGGTAATGGCATTCAGCGAATGAGCGGTCTTCAGAGCATCTACTTATCAAATCTAGTAACTCTAGAGCTGAGGGGAAACAACCTGGATACCACTAATGGCATCAACCTCCCCAACTTAAGGCGATTATATCTGGTAAGAAAAATGTGCTGTTATTTGGTTTAAAACACAATCATACTGATTTAGATTCACTCAATAGTGTCAGTCTTTATACCACAGCTAGGCAAAGGTTGTGATGCTTGTGATTGTTCTGGCTCTCTCTTGAGGCCCAAAATTCTATCAAACGTCTTGAGGGTTTGGATAAGTTAGAGCGCCTTGCCGTCCTTCATCTTCGAGACAACCAGCTTGAAACTCTGGAAGGCCTCAGCCCTAACATGAAATGCCTTCAATATCTCAACGTCAGGTACCAAGCTCAATTATTACAATAATATTCAGAACCACGGCATGGAGTGATCTGTTCTGTGAAAATGAAAGAATATAACATTGCATGGATGTTGTACCCATATTTTCTTCCTGTCACAATACTTCTCCTTAGAGGAAATTCAATCACAGATGAAAGTGCCCTACGTAGTCTTGACCTCGTATCAAAAACCCTGCGAGCGTTGGTGTTAACTGAGAATCCACTGGTGGAAACAGCAGACTACAGGTTGACTGTACTAATGCTCTTGCCACAGTTAGAACGACTTGACAAAGAACCCGTCTCCTTTGAAGAGAGGACTGAAGCCCAAAGGACAATCAAGGTAAAATAAATGCTAAATTATTTGTGGTGTTGCGTAAGAAAGAAGTATATTCTGTTAAAGCACGTGCTTGTCTTTTCAGGAACTTAAAGAAGAGGAAATACCTGAAGCCTAAGATTTCAAAAGGACAATAGGATGAGGAAATGTCAAACTTACTTGACTGCCTTACAGAGGAAGGTTTTTTTTCTGTACAACTGGTTTACTGTAATTGCTAATTGTATATCTTATAGTAGTCATCAATAACCTTGTTTAAATTTAATTGATTTTGACCTCTAACAGTAAAACAGTATCATTCTGATGAGTATATGTAAACGTACAAATGCTGGAAATAAGGTGGAAATAAGTAGCAGTGTCTGGGTTGGGATCTGAACCTTGTATTGTACCTTGTATTTTCCCTGAGTAAGGATGAGAGGGCAGAATCTGTCAGCACTTCCTTGTTGGCAGCCACCCAAATGGTGCTTTAAAGGGGCAGTTACGTTTTCACTGATGTACATGGAAACTTGACATGATTTCGAAAATACGCATGTCGAATTAACGAAAAGTTTATGATTAAAAATGTTACCAGGGGGTTTCCGTCATATTGATAAACTATGTGTTCATAACCATGAAAATGAACTCCCAACCAATCAGAAAGAAACAGCACAGCCTAAACTCAGTCTCCAAATCAGCTCTTCTCAAATGTCCCGGTATCATCTCTTTGGGCCTTTATTAACGGAACCTGTTTTGTGTCCGTGAAGTGTCAACCGGAGTTACTTTGGTAAGTTACTGTTTTGACGAAGGAGTGGGAAGGAAGACTGAATTTGAATTTGAGAATTCAAACGCGCGCTGAAATGAGTTTATGAAAACAGGAGAATCCTTTGCGCAGCTCGTTCCGCCGCTCTTCCCACCAATGATCCGATTGGATGGGCGTGGCTGCGCGTGCGGACATAAACCTCCCCTCTTCGAGTTGTCAGTCCTCCTCCTTCCAGCCGCACTGACTTTGCACAGCGCGACTCAGCTCTGAACCTCAGTCCTCGAGACAGACGTGTGAAGGGAATAATCTGCATTTACTCATCAAGTAAACGCAACTGTCAAAAAGCCTTCCCAGAAACCATGACTAGCTACCACAAACCCGACGAAAAGACTGTGCAGGGGCTGAAAGACATAGCTAACAAGCTCAGGATCAGCTCTATCAAGGCAACATGCGCCTCCAATTCCGGGTAGGTTTTTAAGATTTTTTTTGTATTAGAAATAATTCAGCTGTGTGTAGGAATAAGTATTACGCTGCTCTGATGTCTTATCGTACAACCAGGCCTGGTAGGCTGCACGTGCTGCAGATTATATTCACGCGGGGGAACTTTGCTAAAGCTAGCAGCGCGTAATGGTTTGCTATTGGTCAGTCCAGGTTGACCCGGGTTAGTGTGCAGCTAAGAAAAGCCGTCATATTTGATGCAAAAATATCAAACGAATGTGTTGCTTATTTGACACCCCCATCGCATAATTAATGCTCTCGTATAAGTTACTTTTCGGGATACTTTAAGTGGCTCTTGGTTGCTTTTACTTGCTAGCTGATTAGACGGTCACACTAAAGGAGCAAAGAGTCTCGTGGTTAATTACACGCTGAGTCTCTACATTTCACATACAGGCCAGAGATTTCAAATGTTATCCTTGTATCTCTCAAATAAAAAATAAGCTAAAAAATATCCACGTTCCAAGCAGTTTTGAAACGATTATAACTTCCTCACTACACCCACGGTAGTAAAGATCTAGTTTGGTGCTAGTCCGGACGGTACTACTACAGGGCGAAGCTTTATCGGTCAAGCTGTCTGCCCTTTGCACTCTCAGCCTTATTACGCTTAAGTCTGAACGTTTGTCTGTTCTTCTTTTTAAACTACCTATAACAACAATTTATATTTTCAGTGTCAGACTGCTTCCAGTTGTGGCTGTTACACGGTTACTGTCACATGGACTGTCACACGCCTAATTGTGAATGGGGGAATAATTGTAGCCGTTAATGTGTTACAACATATAGTCAATATAAGGTTTTAGCATGTATATTTTCATGCATAAGCTACCACCAGTCTGTCAACTGGACTGTGTCTGCATTTTCCTCATGATATAGTTTATTGCTTGAACTCTCATTGCAGCCTCTTAAATATCCATTGTGTAATTTTTTTGATGTTTTATGCTTGGGCTGAAAACGGGGTTGACAAACCTGTTTTGTAGACACTTCCTTTTGGCTATTCATTTCCTCCTCAAGACAAGGAAATGAGGGGAATGATGATCTGATCAGGAAAACAAAAGTTTACAAAAAGGTGTGACATGGCCTCCTTGCAACAAAAGCTGGTTCAAGTATTGACATTCAATCTCTGCTTGTTCCTCATTCTTGGACAAATGCGGAACGTTAAACTCGTATCTGATTCTTTGTTTCCCCCCCTTTTCAATCCTTTTAATTAATTCACCCTTTTTTCCAGCAGGTTGTCACTCAACAGAGGAGCAAGTGGTAACTGGGCAAATGGGCTTTGTTTTTGTGTCGATGTAAAACTGAAAACCTGACGTGTTCACAGCATGGTTCAAGTGGTACCATTTTTAACTTAACCACATAGGGAAGCTGTTGGGTAATATGGAATTTCTAAAGGTGTTTCATTACAGTACACAACCGAAATGTAGCAACTAACAGTTTCACAAGCTTGTTCTTGAGCATTGGCCCTAAATGTGGTAACCTGAAGTGGTTTGTGAAATTAACGTTTTTTTTGTACTGACTTTGTGACCCAAAATCTAAAGGTTTATCTTCAGAAGATTTTTTTTTTCTTTTTTCAGCCCCATCCTGCCATGCTCTTCTTGCACAGATAGTTTTTTCCAGACTACAGTTTGTCTAAGCTGTGTGCTTTCAATCAATAATTAACAGGAGATTTCCCTTTGGCAGTCTCAGCCCAAGTTTGGAATGTAACAGCACATGCATGTGCATGATTTTTGATTTTGTTTTAAAACTAATGCTGATGTATATTTCCTCTGCTGTTACTAATTGGCTTTTTGTTTTTGTTTTAAATCCTTCAGCCACCCCACATCATGCTGCAGTGCAGCAGAGCTGATGTCTGTGCTGTTCTTCCACACCATGCGCTATAAAGCAGACGATCCTCGTAATCAGTGCAACGACCGCTTTGTTCTCTCAAAGGTAGATGATTCCTTGTTAATTTTGAGAACCTTGCACATGCACTCGGATGTCGTGGATTGTTTTTTTTCCAGAAAATGTACTCATATGAGCACTCCTCCCCCTTACCAGGGCCATGCTGCACCCGTCCTGTATGCTGCCTGGGCTGAAGCAGGCTACGTGAAGGAGTCCGATCTGCTTAACCTGCGTAAGCTTGATTCTGACCTGGAGGGGCACCCCACACCAGTAAGAATGAAATCTGGAATTGCTATCTGGGATTAAATTATCTTATATGAATTACAGTAAGATTTTATTGTACCCCTTTCTAATCTGTCTATTTTTAACCCAGAAACTGGAGTTTGTTGATGTGGCTACAGGATCCCTTGGACAGGGCCTTGGGGCTGCCTGTGGCATGGCATATACTGGCAAACACTTTGACAAGTCCAGGTTAGTTTGTATCTAAATTAAAAGAACAATACAAATGGACTCTCTGATTACTTCAATCTTTTATATAGATATATTTATTAGATGTAAAAACTATTTTTCATATTAATCTTAAATGTGTCGTGTCCATTTGGAGTTAAATGGGCGGCTTTCTGTAAAGTGCAACTATCAATCAGATGTTTACACAACAACAACGGCACTATTTAACAATAGTGTATTGAGTGCTTCCTGATACCCTGTAATTTCTTAAAGGTCGAGGTGTCTGTAATTCAAGTAGGAATGATGCAGACAATTTAAAATAAACAAACAGGTTTTGCCATGGAACTCAGGTTTATGTTTCTGCAACCTGTTCTAATGCCTAAATAAGTCTTTGGACTGTTTGTCATAACTGAAATATTGTCTTCACTGTTGTCTCTTTAGCTGGTTCATAAGATGACAGATTCCTGTTTTCACTCGTTCCTTTTCATGCTTTAGTTACCGTGTGTACTGCATGCTGGGTGATGGGGAGTGTTCCGAGGGCTCAGTGTGGGAGGCCATGGCTTTTGCCTCCTACTACAAGCTGGATAATCTGGTGGCTATTCTGGATGTCAACCGTCTCGGTCAGAGCGAGCCTGCACCCCTGCAGCACGACATGGAGACCTACAGGAAGCGCTGTGAAGCCTTCGGGTCAGCAACAAACCAAACATTTTTTACGTCTTATTTTTATATATAAAATAACTTTATTTTCAAATGTATTCTTGAGGAAAACTGTTTAATGAAAGCTCTGAATGGGCGAATGTGGCCTTTTAGGTTAAATTGGATAACTCCAAGTTAATAAGTTTTTGGGTGTGTGGAACGGGACTGATGTTGAAGGGTCGACGTCTGGGGTTAATTGTTGTTGTGCTTGTGTATCTGTACAGCTGGAACACGTATGTTGTGGATGGACATGACGTGGAGGAGCTGTGCAAAGCTTTCTGGCAGGCCCAGCAGGTCAAAGATAAACCCACCTGCATTGTTGCCCAGACATTCAAGGGCAAAGGACTCAAAAGTATGTGTCCATAAACAAATTTTGTTATTCAGCTGCAGATGTCTTCATTTAATAAATAACACGTGTTCATCTTCTGGCTGTAGACATTGAGGATCAAGATAATTGGCATGGAAAACCCATCCCCAAGGACCGGTTGGATGCTATCCTGAGTGATCTGAAATCACAGATCATGGTCCCCAACAAGTCTCTGTGCCCTGAGCTGCCCAGTGATGACACTGCTCCAGCAGACCTCAGTCCCATCTCCATGCCCTCACCTCCAGCTTACAAAAAAGGAGACAAGGTAAATAAAGTTGCCCTTTCTTTAAGGCTCAACAAACCTATGGTGTTGTTGTGGTGTTTGCACTTGTAAAAATCACAAATCGCTGATCAGTGAGTACTGATAACTTTGTTTCACCATGATAGATGAGATATCAGTCCCCAAGATAGCTTTTCAACCTTTGTTGTTTTAGAATCATGATTTGTATTGATTCCCTCCCCCTTCCTTTTCTTTTTAGGTTGCAACGAGGCGAGCATATGGTGATGCACTGGCCAAACTGGGTCAGGCGAGCAAGAGAGTGGTCGCCCTTGACGGAGACACCAAAAACTCCACTTTTTCAGATCGCTTCAAAAAGGCCTTCCCCGATCGCTACATTGAGTGTTTCATCGCTGAACAGAACATGGCAAGTGACTTTCTCAGCCCTGAAGATTTAAAATGTATCTATATGGAACTAAAAAGCTTTTTAATAAAGTTGGTTCGTTTAGAAGCCAAAGAGCAAACTGGGCTTTAACATATCTAAAAGCTGGTCTTTCATAAGTCTTTAAAGAGCAGGCTAACTTTACACCTCACTGCTATAATCTACTCAAGTCGGTGTAATCTGTGCCTATTCATTCTTGTTCCTGATAATCTCAGCCTCTCTGCTGCCTTCCACGCATCACCCGTTTACCTCAAACTCTGCTCTTACATATGAGCTTAATCTCGTCACTTGTTACTTACACTTGCCCTTAAACTGAATTTGCTTGTAATTGCAGGTGGGAGTTGCCATTGGCTGTGCCACCCGTGACCGCACGGTTGCATTTGCCAGCACATTTGCAGCCTTCCTCTCCAGAGCCTATGATCAGATTCGTATGGGAGCCATCTCCCAGACAAATGTCAACCTGGTGGGGTCCCACTGTGGAGTGTCCATTGGTAACGTTTTAATCTGAAGCACACATCTAGTAGGATCCACTGGCTGCACTCGTGTGTTTGACCGGTCCATGTTTCTCCCTCAGGTGAGGATGGTCCGTCTCAGATGGCCTTGGAGGACATTGCCATGTTCCGTGCTATACCGACATGCACAGTGTTTTACCCGTGTGATGCAGTGTCCACAGAGAGGGCTGTCGAGATGGCTGCCAACACCAAGGTTGGTTACACGCACACCCCATGGTGCCAAACATAATTTGGCTGTCCTAAAAGAACATGTATTGATGCGCGGCTCTCTCCTCAGGGGATCTGTTTCATCCGCACCAGTAGACCAGAAACTGCTGTAATCTATTCTCCAGATGAGAAGCTTGAAATTGGTGTAGCCAAGGTAATGACTGGTTGTTGTTTTTTTGTTTTCTTGGACTAATAAAAATCAAATGGCAGCCCCATCACTTGACTTTCTGAATTGTTCATCAGGTGGTGCGCCAGTCTGACAAAGACCAGGTGACTGTGATTGGAGCTGGTGTTACTCTGCATGAGGCTCTGGCTGCTGCTGACATCCTGGAGAAACAAGGTACACCAACGGTGCCCCCTAGTGGCCAGATGTGCGGCCTGGATGGGGGGCAGTGACTGCAGTACTGGGCATTTCAGACAGAATGGCCTGATATCTGATTTATTTTTATTTCTCCCCTACAGGAAAACATATCCGTGTAATTGACCCATTCACCATCAAACCCCTGGATGCTGATACCATTCTGACTAGTGCCAGAGCCACAAGGGGACAGATCATCACAGTGGAGGACCACTACAAGGAGGGTCAGTTTCTCTTTTTCTTATACTTTTTTTTTCTTTTCCCTTTTGCAATTTCCCTTTGGAAATGTTCACAACTGCCAAAGGGATTAATATATATATATTTTTTGTGTATAAGAAAGAAGAAATTAAAATGCAATCTCCTGAGCTTTAAAGAATGTAAATAGTTCTGCCTGTATTTGAAATGTCAGCTGGATATTTGAAGTGATTGGTCTGGCTGTTGTTGCTTAACATTTTATGCACACTCACTCGTGTTGGTGCGTGTCCTCCACTGAAGCATGTGTTGTTCACCCTCTGCCCCAGGTGGTCTTGGTGAGGCGGTGCTGTCTGCTGTAGGAACAGAGCCCGGTATTGTTGTGACCCGACTGGCGGTGTCGGGGGTTCCCCGCAGTGGAAAGCCCACTGAGCTCCTGGACCTGTTTGGCATCAGTGCTAAACACATCGTCACTGCAGTCTGCCAGACCTTTGCAAACTGAGGACTGTGTTAAGTGTGTGTGTGTGTGTGTGCTTTAATTACAACCCACCTCTCTGCCTGCTGCAAACCTCCAAACTTGAAGGCCTCTGTCATCTTTTGGCTTTGCAGTTTACTAACCCTGTGTGGCTGTCACATGTAGGTGGAGATGACTGTAGTGTGGTCAGAGCCTGAAAATCTAATGCCTCCCAATGTGCACACTGTAGGTTCCATTGTTGCACCACTTCTTTATCATTCCATCATGTCTTGAAGTACAGACTCCAGAATCTCTAGATACTGTAAATGTTGTGACGGTTGGATTTGAAATGCTCTGCCTGGTCACAGTTATTCCTGTAACATTCCTAACACCCATTCCTTTTTATTTGTTTAGCTTTATGATGAGCCAAGCATCTTCTTCAAAGCACTGCTGCCGTTTTGTCAGTCTGATGTAATTGTCCAGGATCAGCCCACAGTGCTTAAGATAGATGTTTTGCTCAATCATGGTGTGAAGTTAAACCGGATATAAACAGTTTGATTTTTCAGCAGCTGTTTCTGACCACAGTTACAATGTTACTGGCTTTTAAGGTCACCATGTCATCCTGTTGCTCTGTGCTAAATTAAAATTACGCTCTATACTACTGAGTCTTGGTGTGGTTTTTGAATGTCAGCAAGTTTAATAAATCAGACAATCGGTGTGCTGCTTCAGCTGATGGGTTTACATTGAATCAAAATGATTTGTTTGAATTACTTTAGTACCTTTTCATGTCGGTCATTTATACCTCTAACTTTTTTTTGTTCTTTTAAGAAAACCTGCTAATTTAATTTACTGCACTGACATTTTGTTGCCCAGTAAAGACTGGCTGCCACCCGAATCCCTCATCCAATGGCAGCTGGGGCTAACATTTTGAAGCCTTGGCATTTAATTTCCAAAAATTAACATTGAATTGTTTGTCTGTATGAACATCAACGCTATAAAGAATCCTTTATGAACCCCCACCCCATAATCCCCCACACCTCTGGATGAAAACCCCCCAAAAAATGTTTTTTTTTTTTTTTAAGCCTTTTAATCACTCCATATGCTAATTTAAGTTGAGTTGAGAAATTGTGTTCTACACCATTCCTCAGAGAAGCATTGGAGGTGACTGTGTGGGGAAGCCAACACCGGGCGCCATTACACACAATAGAAATTGCTCATTTGGGGTGCTGTCGCACAGAGGTAACGAACGGTGTTGAATGTGACCTGTGGATTACTGCATGTTCCTGTCAAAACCGAAACAGCTGACATTGAATCATCTTTGGACACATCACTGTTTACCTTGGAACAAGCTGGGTCCTAAGTGTTTCAGTGTTTAGTGTTAAGTTGTCCAGTGAGCCATTTGGAATACGTCTGGATTCTGTCATCACTGTCTAAAAAGCTAATCTTGTTTTAGGAAGAAAAAAAGACAGGCTCTGCGATGCAATATTACCCCACAAAGTTGATATAGACAAAAGTATAGAATTTTTGGCTAGATTTAAAATATTTGAGTTGTAGTTTATCAAAAAGAGGTTTTCACTCAGCTGTGTGAAACCCATCTTGGCTCCAAGGTGACGCTGAGGGTGCGCACACACACACACGCACACACAGTTCATGAGCAGTATGTATGCTCAGTACAGAATGTCAAAGATGGCTGCATTGTTCGCTGCTTGGAGGCAATGTTAGTTTTCATGTGTAGATGCTAGTGGAGCCTGGCCAAGCCAGGCCAACTCTGACATGACCTGTCTATCAGCCCTTCCTGCTGCTGGACAGAGTCCAGCACTGGTCCAGACGGAGCCAAAACACAAAGGTGTGAGTGGATTAAAAAAAAGCAAGAACAAGTTTCAGATGACTTGATAAGTTGGAAGTGAAATCTTTCACTGGTGTATGAAACAGTTTCCTTTCGTGTTTTAGGAGTTTCACGTAATATAGGGCTTTCTTTTAAAAGCCTTTGCAGACGGTTATGTCAGGGATAGGAGACAGGAGGAGCAGGGCGTGTCTGTATTTCACGGTATGATGATTGAAGGCCTGTATTAAGACTGTGAAAGTTTATTTTCTGACCTTTCCACCTCCGAGATATTCCTTCCAGTGTCTCACTCTCTTATTTCACCACTCACTCAGACCTAGGGGCTGCACTTTCTTTCTATAGTCATTGAGTTTTCAAGACTGGCATACTGTCTAACCTCACAAAGGTTCCTCCCTTTGGCATCACCAACTGCGCGTTGGGGATCTGTTTTTTCCTTGCTCCTGTCCAGCACTCAGGTAGAATTTTTTAAAAACTATTTCCAAACGAAATAGTTTGAAATGAGAAAACATTCAACGGTACAATGGCAGCAGAAAATATGGATTGTGGTGATTTGTCTGAGTGGCGCGATTTCGTCTGGACAATGCCAAAAGTCTTTGACTGAAGTGAGAACAATCTCGGAACTTTACTCTGAGACACCTGACAGAGAAACGGCCACCATTCGTCCACCAGGGATTGACGCTGGAGAGAAGCATCTGCTTATGAATGTCACCGGTAAGTTGCTCAGAACCCTTTCTGTTTATACTGGCCTTCGCTTGCCGGAAAAATGAGTCGTGTTCTTGTTTGTTCAAGAGAGAAAGCCTTACAGTTTCATTCAGCATGTTTGTAATTTTCCTGCGTCTTTGCTTGTGTTTTTGCTGCTTGTAAGATTCTGAAGAGGAGAATGAGAATGAGCAGCCCAAAATGGACCAAGACTTGAATACGGAGCAGGGGAGAGTTGATTTAAAAGATTCTGAAAGAGGAAAAAGAAGTGCCTCCAGGAGAAAGCACGCACCAACAGTAGAGGCCATCGCATACAGGATAGTAAGAAGCTACAAACACTAAAATGCTGAGTGTTGATTTAAAACTTCAGTACCGTAGACCCTCTTTATTTCTGTCTACTGGACTCTGTGCTTCCCGGTGTTTACTCAGCCCCTCGGTTTGAACACTTTCTGCTTACTGTAGGCAGGTTTGGGCCGGGCTCTGACGGGATGGAGAAGACGTGGAAAAGGGGAGATGGAGAGCAGCGCTCTCATGGCTGCCCTGAGGGAACTCCACGCCGAGAAGAGAAGGTTGCTGGATTACGGGAAGACGCATGACAAAGAGGAGGAGGAAGAAGATGAAGATGAGGATGAGGATGATGATGATGACGACGAAGAAGAAGATGATGATGATGATGATGAAGAGGTCTAAATTAAATCAGTTGTTCTTATTCAATTCACAAAACCAACCATTAAAGGACATTTCTCACTTTTTATCTTAGGAGGAGGAGGAAGAGGAGGAGGAAGAAGAGGAGGAGGAGGAGGAGGAGGAAGAGGAGGAGGAGGAGGAGGAGGAAGAGGAAGAGGAGGAGCCATCTGAGCCTCCCACTAATCAAACAGACACATACTCCAACATAACTGCGTGTCATACAGCTGACAGAGAGGTCAGCTGCAGAGGCCTAGGCCTCACTCAACTGCCTGTCTTCCACAACCTGGAGGCCACAAAAATAGACATGGCAGGTGTGTGTGTGTGTGTGTTAGACCAGAATGATAAGATGTAATCATTTACTTTTGACTTTTTGATTCAACATGAAGTTTCATTCATCTATTAATTGTCTGTATCCAACACAAGCACCTGTTACGTATCAATTATAGTCTTATGGTGGCCTTCTCATATATGGCCGTCCAGCATGGCCCGGCCTGTTTAAATGAGATTCATGTCACAGTCCATATTATGTGCTTTCAGTGTTCCTTGTCTTTTTTCGTTGAAGAGAACAACATCGGAATCATCTCTCCTCAAAGTTTCCATGGCCTGTCGAACCTTGACACGCTGGATCTGAGCCAGAATAAACTGAACGATGAGTCATTCATCCAAAACCCGCTGCTCGTGAGTAACTCTGCCTTCACAAACTAGTGTCTGCCGACCTGCGGTTCAAGTTCAGCCGGCTCCATCTGCTGTCAGTCAGTGAAACGTTTCCCAACTGTAGGTTTTCCCTGCCCTGTCTTTAATCTTTAATGACTGTAACTCAGTCATGTCTCCTTATAACCACGGTTTGCCTTGAATGATCTTTTCAGCTTTTTTTCAGAGAAAAAGAAGTAAGAAAGCCAAAAGAATTTAAATAGCTGTTTAATGTATGTTTATGTTTTTTGGGGTGAAAATGTCTAAACTATCAACTCCCTAGTAATCAGGTCTGTTAATCCTGTAAGCTAACAGAATGTTAACAGTTAGTCTAATTATTCTGATTTTCTGTATATGAAAAAGGAAAAAAAATCTGATTACTCACATTAAAAAAGCTCTGTCTTTTATCAGATTGACGGAGGAACAATCAGTAGAAGGTCCCATAAAAACAATACTTTAAAAAAGACAAACACACATCAGGGCAGGATTACAAATCACCAAATACAGCAAACATGACAAGAAGTGTAAAAAAAAGAAATAAAAAGAATTCAGAATCATGCTGCTATCACACGCTTTTGCCTTGCATATTCTGGGAAGCTTTCCTTTTCCTCTTGCGGAGCATCTGCAGCCTGCAAAATGTGAATGAGTGACTTTTATGAGGCAGTTTGCATCTATTAAAATAAGAAGCAGACCTGACCCACCATCGTAAAATTGGACTAGAGTGCTGAAAAGGCATTAACAAATGCTCTCCGAGAATAAACTCTGGTAAAACCTCTGAATGATCACAGGCCAAACTCAGATCCTGACCACACTGAGGCGGCCGGCGCGCTGACCAGCCCTTACTTGACACCGCTGATACGCTGTCAGGGTATTGGCTGGGTGAACCTGTTGGAAAACAGCTGCAGCCAATGATGTGGAGAATAAAGTGAAATTATTTTTGGAGGAATATTTTTTCCTCGTTTTCTCCTCACATCGCCATAATGACAGAGGGCCGGTGGACTGGCGAGAAGGTTACTGCAGAGAGCCTGTCCACTGCTGCTCGCACTGCCACCGCAGCATCTCTCACTAAAACGCCACCCACAGTGGCTTTACTAAAAATACAGCACCATAAATGACATGGAGGAGATGCAGAAAATGGAAATTTCTTTCATTTGGTGAATTTCTGCGAACTCAAGTTGGGATGAAAATTATGGACCATGAGTCAAGTCTCCGTTTTGTTTGTTTTATTATCTTGGCCTGCTAACCCCCCCCCCCTCTCCTCTGTATGCAGAACTTGACTTTCCTGAAGAAACTAATTCTAGATGGCAACCAGATCACCAGGATCCCAGTTTTGCCAGCATCTCTGGAGGAGCTCAGGATTAACAACAACAAGCTCGGGGCGCTCACTCCTCACAGCTTCGAAGGTACAACGTGTCTCTCTTCAGAAGAAACCGACACCACGAAACAAAGTCATGTACAAATGCTGGCCCAAACCATTTCCCTTTCAGGTCTGGTAAACCTGCTGAACCTGGAGCTGGAGGAGAACATGCTTCGTGAAGGCAGCGTGTCACCGTTAGCTTTCAGACCTCTACAGAAGCTGGTGTACCTGCAGCTAGAGAACAACCACTTCCGTTTGCCCCCGCCAGGTCTCCCCCCCTCCCTTCAGGTGTGCTCATTGGATGCCCTGTTGGGGCATTAGGCTGTGTGGAAATATGACTTTACCTCCACACAGTGGGAGGTGAAACACAGCTCACTCAGGTTTCTTTGACTATCGAGAGTAAACGCCTCTGGGAGTCCAGTTGGCATGAAAAGTAATGCAGGAAATCTAAATAGGGACAAATGTTGAGAAGCGGATGATAGATTACTGACTGTAGATGAAGACAAACTAAGCTGCTCAGCTTTTTTAGCTCCCCTTTTCATGGAAATCAGCTGCGCTTGTCCGTGTTTCTTGTTTTAAGGTTCTCAAAATGAAAGAAAATCTGATAGAAGAATTGACAGAAGAGGCACTGAGGGACTGCATTCATTTGAAAGTCTTGGACCTGAGTCACAACTACATAAGTGAAAAGGGCATCTCTAACCGTGCCTGGACCCGTCTGAGGTATGTAAATCCATCCGTCCAAACTCATTCTAGCATTCTGTACTTCCTTAATATACCACAAGAGGACAGTAAACCCCTGCTTTGGACCTTCACGCAATAAGTAACACAATCCCATTGACAAACAAAACATTTAGCAATTATCAGTCTGTGATAATTTGGGTTTCCTATCCTCTTTTATCACATGCTGGCACAGTTCTTTATTAGAAATCCTCATCTCTTTTGCTACGTCTGAGGTGGTATTGAGGAGTCTATTTCTGCAAAGACATGCATTATTTTTTCTTTGTTTGTGTTAGACTCTCACACACACAGGCACAGGCATTTTCACAAGTTATGACAGCTGACTCTGTGCACTACGATGAGCAGCCGTATGATTGAGAGCTCCAGGGCAACTGTGCGTCTGTGTGTGTGTGTTTGTTTGTTTAAATATAGTGAATTCCGGTGGGTTTTACTTTGCTCCCTGGGATCCTTGTGAACCACAGAGGGAGCTTCAGGGAAAGCTTGGAAAGAGAGAATGTAAAAGAGGGAGTGCAAGCAAGGCAATTGTGGAGACTTTGCATGAGCTACACAGAGTACAAAGTTATAAAGCTGAGACGGGTATAATCAGGAGAAGAAAAAAAAAGAGGAAAAAGGTTAACTGAAAACCATTAAAACAGGCTTTCCAGAGGCTTAATTTGACCTCTGACTCCAGTGATATTTGATGCCTGACACTTGACCTCATTATTGGTAAAAGTAGCAACATTCCCACAGACACTGCCAAATTATGAGCTGCTTCTGTTCTGAAAACTTCCTGCAGTTCTGCATGACACCAGATTCTAAACTAACTAAGCCTGAACTGACCTGTCACTAACAGGAGAGACATTAAAGAAGATTACCTCTCATGTTAAACTATTCTGTGACTTTTCTGCCTTCCGATAGTATAAAACAAACAAAAAAAGCAAACAAACAAGGAAAACATGCAGTTCCATTGCTGCAGAGGTGTTTTCTTTCTTCAGTTTCTCCGAGGCACGCAGCCAAATGGAGTGAGGCAGAAAAAGAGGGACAAACAAAATGAAAAAATCTATTGCTTAATGTTGTGTGCTGTTTCCAGTTAGTGGGTGTCTCTGTTCCCTGTGATGGAGTCAGTGTTATTGTTCCTCCCTGCAGCGCTAACAGCTGGCAGATACTGGACTTTTACAGGGATCTGGGGACTGGACCTGAATTCTTTTATTGGTGGCTCAGATATCTGCTAAAAAACTAACTTCATCTTTTATTCTCTGAAATTATTATTTAGTGATGATTTGTTTTACCACAAATCTGCATCTTTTTAAAATTCAAATGTAACTTTGCTTATTAGGTCCTCAAGACTTGTGTCCAGAATAAATCATGGTCATTCTCTTTTGAGCTCATGAATATTTAGAATGAGCTCAAGCAAGATACAGTGAGCTGTCAGATTTAGTATGAACCTTTAAGATTTTGACAGCCTTGCGTTTTTTTCTTGCATCAAACAATTTTACGAAACATTATTAGAATAATTATAATGGACTATATTCAATATTTTTGAAGACTGTTTCCCCCTCAACTTAATTGACTATTCGTTTAAAATACAAACATCTCTGCGTCACTGTATGTAAATCCTAATTAGTAGGTATTGCTGGTACAGTAATACAGATCCTAGATCAGTAGTAAGAACATATTCTATATATGTTCTCAAAAACCATGCTTAAGTGCAACTTTTGAATGATCATTTTCTATGCCTCATCTGCCTCAATAACAGGATATTTCTCTGAAAAGTCTTTACATTTGAATAATGAATGTTGGAATTTTATCTGTGATACTTTTTTGACAGTGGCAATGATATATATAATGATATATTTTACTGTTTAGAAATTTATTTTCCATTCATGATGTCAGTCGAAGTCCACAGTGTGCGTCTGCAGTTATCCAGGTACATGTTCGTTACGTAACATGACCGTGCAGTAGCACACAGAAAGGGATGCAGCGCTCTCAGTAATCTCTGACTCCCCTCGGGCAAAACAGCAGCCCTCGTCTTTAAACACACAGCTGCACAAGAATACATCTCTATTTCTCTGCAGACACCTGCAAGTTCAGTGCCTATTGTTTTTTTAAGAACTTGCCAGCTCAAATGAAAGTATTAAACCCTTCTATGTCTGCTCCATCACTAGGCAGTTAAAAACTCTGGATCGCTCACATCACTGCCAACAAACACGACACAACGCTCCACATAAAAAGTGTGTATGATATTACGCAGTTAAACTGATTAAAGATTCATAAACACCCTTGTCTGAAATGACAAAATTGGATGAATAATGAATTTTCAGTTGCTGTTTTTTATTCATGCCCTCACACATCTAATTTTATTGGGAAAAAAGTTGTATTGTGGATGTGAGTGTGCGTTCTGCAGCTCAACCTTACAGTTGTCACATCTCATAACAGCTTTTATTAATCTCACAAAAACTGCAGCCAATTCAATTCTCTGTTCATAGAAGTTATTTGGTGTCTATTTTCCCTTTAATAATTGTCCTAGTTTTGCAGACAGGGTGTTGTAAGAGAATTGTGTAAATTCGACATTTCTGTAGGCTTAGACCGATAGGACTTGTAATAAAAGCTTTGTTTGTCTTTGACATAGCACATGTTGGTTTTGTAATAAGCTTACATAAATAAGAAAACAAGAAGTAGTGCACACACCACTACACATTAGCATGTCTACAGTGCTGAAGTATAAAATCACACAGAGCCACTGGACTGGATTTAAGTGATTTCTGGTTCACAAATAAAGATTCCCCCAGGGTTAAAAACACATCTAATTTGCAAACGCAGCATGAACCCAACTGCTCACAGTCAGCACACAAAGTACGGCTTCAGTAAATTGTTAAAGCCTTAGCTTTAAATGAATTCAAATATGCTTCAGTCTGTTTGCAACACATTTGACAAATGGAGCAAAATGCTTCCAGATATCATTCAGTTTCAATAAATTCAGCGCACACAGGAGAGCACATGCTGCTTTAATAAATCTGAAGTCATGTCCTGCCATCACAGATCCATCACTGCGTTTTTAAGTCCAGGCTTAGGCTTTTTTGCTTCGCTGGCACAGCAGCTCTTTCTGGCGTACCTTTCCTGGCGTCGCTGCCAAAGTTCCTTAACCAGCATGCACAGTGCTGGGCCAAGCCCACAGATGGAAATGTGTGTATCTCTAAGTATGGTAATTGTACTTTTCCTTTTCTGAAAAGCAGAATTTAGACCCTATCACACCTTTTTGCACAAAACCTTAGATACCTTGTTTGTCAGCACAATGCTGTCCGCCAATTGATGATATTCTCAAAATGAAATAATACTTAGTACCGGTCTTGCAGAATAACCATTAGCATACTATATATGTTACGGAATAAGGATTTCCATGTTTATTTGCCACCTCTGGATCTGTGAGGATGTTAATTTGTTTGTGTGCAATACGATTTCTACTCCATGTCATCTTTCACGCACATTAGTGTGCACATGGGTATTTGTGTGTTGATGCCAGTGGGTGGGAGTGCACGGGGTGGAGGATGAGAGGACTGTGTGTCCTTCTGCTCATTAATACCATGTGGAGCTCTGAGCAGTGGCGGACTACGTCTGAGCTTCCTGGCAAACTTGCAGAATACAAATCAGCTACACACAACTGGCCTGAACTGGTATAGACACAAATAGTGTTATTTCAAAGTTTGATTTTCAAGCGGAAACCATTCTTTCGCGGCAGGTCGTATTTCTTCAGTGCACATGCAGCTTAAAGGAAAAGTTCGGCTTTTAGAGTTCCCTTTTGTACTTGTATGGTTTGAGTTAAATCTGTTGTTCTCTCTTCCTGTTGAGTTTTAACTTTAGTTTCAATAACTTCTTTATGAATATCCAAGAATTTAGTTTTATTGCACTTATTTAAGCATGATGGAATGCAGTAAGGCTAAGTTTACTAGAGGTGTCATGTGGATGTTGTTTGGCCAGGTTGAAGAAGGTATCTGCTTATTCTGAGTGGGAATATTTTACATTAAAATGATCAGAAATGGTCAAATTTAATGGATTTGTATGGTACATGTCATCAAGGTAATTGAAACACTAAAAAACAATAGAAACCGATTATGTTCAAATTCCACCTGTGTTCAGTATGTTCAGTGAGTATAAAATGAGTGTCTTCTCTTGTTATGAACTGTGCTGTGAACTCACAGCATCTGTGTGGTATCTTCTAGCAAAGATAGTGAACCATGTACTGCATCTTCACCTCAGGCTCCAGACGTATACTTCTGTCTCCATGGCCATTCCTTCTGTTTCCTGAAAACCAAACCAAACATTTCCCTTCTTCTTTATGTAACTCTGCAACAAATTCTCTTAAACTGGTATGCTCTCTCGCACTGAACCCCCCAGGGCCCATTACTTTATTTCTGGGTGTTCCTCATTATTCCTCCACAGCTTGGCCTGACCGGCAGTGCTACCCAGGAGTCCAGCAACCATAAAACATCAAGTTTGCAGTGAGAGGTCTTCAGCATCAATTATCACATTCAACCTTGTAAAAAAAACATAGACATGCTGACCACTACTCTGACTTCTCAGTATTTATGCAGTTTATTTTGTCCAGAATTGTAAAAGTAAGTGTTTCTCTTTTTGTTGAATTTCCTCCCAGGTTTTGAGGATAATGAACATCTCTAAAAAGTTCCTTTGAAAGCCTTAAGGCATGTCTGTCTTGACCAGAATGGCTCACTGACTGGCCAACAAAGCACTCTATACTTGCGTTGCTAATATAGTCTTCACGTGCTGAAATAGAGGGCTTTATATAACTCAGAATCATTACTTTTCTGTATGTTTTTTTTTTCTCAGATCCTTGGAAGCTTTGGACCTGTCCCACAATCATTTGACCTCAGTCCCCATGTATTTGCCACGTCCTCTCCGTAAACTCACCCTCCAACACAACAACATCACTCACATTCCTGCCTTCACGTTCCGTCACCTGCGGCCTGGCCTCCAGTCGCTGCATCTGTCCCATAATGCACTGACTAATGTGGGTGTAGTGCAATATGCTTTTGTTGGATCTTACCGGTCGCTGACCGAGCTCCTGCTGGACAACAATCTCTTGGGAGAGATCCCTCGGAGCATCAGACATTTTAAGAACCTGCAGGTGTTGAGACTGGACAACAATCAGATCAGGTAGAGCTGCAGCTAAAACTCATTTGAACTCAACTGGAACTGTCTAAACACAGATTCAAAAACTATTCTGTTGCATTATTCTTTACCTCACATACAGTTAAAAATCCCTTTGTCCTGAGGATGAAGTCCCCCTGTTTGTATAAATGTTTGCATATTGTGGTTTCAGGCTGGTGAGGAAGTGGGCTGTGTGTCACCCTCGCAATTCTGGCTCCACCATGGCTTCTGTCCATCTGGAAAATAACCTCCTGGAAATAGAGAAGATCCCCCCAAATGCCTTTTCCTGTGTCGCTGATGCCCAGGGACTGGTCCTTTATCCACAGACTGGCTAACACATATGCATCAAGTGCCACTCACATGCTGGACATTTGCGGTATCACATGACACCCTAATGCAGAGTATTTATGTTTTCTCATTTTTCTTCAAGTTTATCATTAGTATTGCTCTGAAATGAGAGCCTTAGTTAAAAAAAAAACAATCACTATCATGATTCCTCTTTAGTTAGTGCTTTCATTTCAAATTCCTGAGCTGGTCTTTGTTTCTTAGAGCCATCTTTAGAACCCAAAATAACTGTAGCACCTTTTTATGTTATAAGGCAAATACATAATTTATACAGTTATTGAAGTTCTTCTCATATAAGATACTTGTGTGTTTTATGTGCAATTTACTCTTAAATATCTTTAATAAGGTGATGTGGCAAGGTTAAGCCACAGTGGGAGTCTCAACAGATACATAGAACCAGTTTTTGAGTATTATGTCTTTTATTTTGACCTATACACACACACTCCTCAAAGCTGATCCGCTGCTGGCTCCTCAGGTCCGTCCAGGTCCAGTTGGCTACTGGCCGGAGGGGAGAGTGATTAGCCAACTAATTCCAGGTGTGCTAATCACTGCTTTCCTGAGCCTCCCCAATGCCTCCTCCAAAGGTTTATTTGAGAATTGTATATCTAATAGATGGACATGTGTGTTAATTTAAAATCTGAGGTACTGGGACCTGAATGTTTTTAATCAGATAGAAATAATGTAAGGTGAGAAGTGGACTCAGGAATCCTTCAAGACAGAGTACCAGAGAGCGACTATAAGAGAAGAAATGTAAAAAATATCATGCTGATACCCTTTCATGGTATTAGCTTCCAACATCCACAATGAACCACTTCATTGTGGATGTTGGATTGGACAGTGTTAAGTACTCAGTCAGGGCCTCTGAGCATGTAGCGGTAACTTCAGTCTTTGCAAGGGAAACAGAATGATTATGTATGTATTGGAGAAGTAAGGCAGCCAATCTCATTATTTAGCCGAGCACTGGGGAAAATGAGAAAAATACGAGGAACATGTCATTGCAGAGGTAAACGAACACAAACAACAAGAAGGCACAAGTGAGCCATTGTTCTTAGAAAGTTTCAAAGCCAGCCAGTGAAAAATGAGAGGAGAAGCAGCTCATTTCTTGTTAGGGAAGGAGATTCAAAACAGAAGGACGGACGGGACAGGGAGCCAGATCCAATTCAGAGATCTTTTCACGTTTGTAAAGTAAGCCACTCATCATGCTCTACTAACCTGCAAACATAATTCCTTATGTGAATGCCCAGATCTCAGTGTTTTCTGTCCTCTTCTTTTTGTGTACGTTATTGTTTCTGTCCCTGACAATGCAGCTGGTTCAAAGATATTTTTAGCTTCACACGAATTGTTATAAAACTATTCCATGATATAGGTAAAAGTGGTCATAATGAGAACATAAAATAGCAGAAGCAGAGGAAAAAGAATAAAAATCCTTCTATTCAGCTCCTTGCATAATATTAGTATTCCCAATTAGGGATGTGAACTGACAATATGTCCATCTTGAATGTATCCAGCTGTGTTACATCAGGTCTTAAATCATAGTTAAATGTCTGTTTTCCTAGTTTCTCTCAGAAAATAACAGATTTTTTCTGATGCAAGTTTGAGCAACAGTAACGAAGTGAAGGGAAATCTTTTGAATCTGTAAAGCTACTTGTTGAAAGGCAACACACTTCACTGCATCAGAAAATAATACAATAAAAACGTCAGTAAAGATTTCACTTGAGAGCTGTGTCTTTGCAGTGCTAACTGAACATTGGAAGGTCTCTTGTGGACATCTTTGTCAGGAACTCAGAGAAAGCAGAGGTACTGGGTGATACAGATTTCAAGGGAACAATAATGCAAGCACACAGTACAGGTCTGCTTGGAATATGCTGTACATTACAGTACAAAGAGACACTCTCCTCACTCTGTGTGCCCAGGCATGTAATCACATGTTAGCTCTCTGCTCTTAGCTCTGTGCATGTGGTGCAGTCTCCATAATTGTACAGTCATTTTGTAAATGGCACATTACTGTCTAAGAAACACACACTCTCATTCGTCTCACAGTTCCTTCACATTACAGGTTGATCTGAAGCTTTGCACAAAAACAATGATAAAAGATCGCCTCTCATTTTGAATTCTGCCATCTTTGTATTTTTTGTACAGAAGGATGTTTTAGCTTTGTCATTTAAATTCCTAAGCCTTCTCCTCCCTTGCTTGTGAGAAGGGGTATTTTGAAATTTGACAAGCTTGCCACTTCAATGCCATCCATCATTATTGTGTGCGTCATGGCTAAATTGTTCAACTGAAAATCATAATATGCAACAGATGTTTTGGATCATGTAAAGCTCATGCCAGATCCCATTTGTAAGAGGTTGACCATTGAATGGTGTCAAGCTTTTCTTCCTCCCATGTACTGTCTGTTCCACCCGGAGACAGCAGCTTCCTGTGTTTGTTATTGGACTGGAAGGGGGTGCTGGAGATAAAATACAAAGCTCCAGTGCTTATACTGTAAAGCACCAAAAGAATGTTCTCCCACAATCAGGTGGTCTTCAGAATGAAACAACTGAAGAGAGGATAAAGAGGATGTCAAAAGTATGGAAGGTAGCAAGTGTTCTGATGATGAGACATCATTGTTGGCACTCTACAATTTCCACAGAACTGAGTCACAATATGCATCAGAAAACCAACATGCTTGTCTATTACTGTCCTCTTTCTGCCTCACACAAAGACAAAAATGCTCACAGCATGGCAGCACCTACACAAGAGAACCCAAGTGGGTGTGCTAATCTCTGGAGACACGTTTGTTGTACAGGGCAAAAGAGTTTAATTTGGATGCCAAGCCCTCTAGCTACAGACCAACACCATAATCAAGTGAACCACAGCGACGGGGAGACAGGCACACAGAGAAAGACTGAATCTACAAAGCGACACAAAGAATGGAAGCAAAGAGAGATGGAATGTTATCTGCAAAAGCTTTTATCAAAACTGTGTCTTTGCCAACAGCCCCTGCAGGGCATTGATCCCGCTGGCACGCCTCTCTTGTAGTAGCCACAAACAGGGGTGAAAACCATACAGGAAGACAGGCAGGGCTGTCAGCCTCTGCTTGTATTCACGCTGATAGTGATTAACAATGATTGTGATTTCATCCTCATAGCTCAGGAGCTGCAGTGCTTAAGGATGGTGTGTAGATATTTGCAGACGTGCTGTTTGCGAACGTGTTTGTGCCGAGAAGTTCCCAAGCAGAGTCTTGCCAAGTTTGCTGCCTCGCTCTGGGGTGCTGGCAACTCAGAGAAGAAATAAGAGTTGCTGAAAAAGAACACTTCATTCTGCCAAAAGAGGGATTTAACAGAAAACTGCGAAAAGACAGAGAATCATACATTTATGGATCATCCAAAAAAAAAAGAAAGGTTAAGAGCACAAATAAAAGAAACGTAAGTACCAAACCCTCTATGAAGAAATATCCTGGAACTTTCTTACAACTGAAAACAGGTTGTTATCATCCAAATATTACATACAAAAACAACTCCCTGTGAAAAGAGAGTTTGTATTCAGAGCGTCATACATTTTGGGGGATTCTCAAAATCTCTTGGCATGAAGGTGATGATGGGAGGGAAAGATTAGTAGGGCGAACAATTTTGTGAGATTAAAAACTTGCTGCACAGGAGGTTTTCTCAGGGTTTGCTCTTGTGCATCTGCTAATAATAAATCAGCAGAGAGGGTCCACTTCTTGTGAAAGAATTGTAGATAGCACTTAAGAAGTGCTATTTTCTTTGTCCACTGGCAACATGGTCGACAATTGAACATCCTTTAGATTTTAAGGGTTCACCAGTGCTCAGTGCTACCCTGTCGATGCCTTTTTCGGATATAAATGACATCTCAACGTAAAGTGGTCAAGACAGAATATTCTACTATGTACAGAACATAATATCACCAACAGGTTTAGAGAGTCTGAGGATGAGAAAACTCTAGATGCTGGACTGACCTGTCTACAGTTCGCCAATGGAAAACATTAGAAGAATCATGAAATATTTACAACAACGATCTGACACTGAGCAGCCAGAAGGAATTATCAGACAAAAATGGGACAGTGTTCCCGCCGTGCCAAAGCTCCAGCAGCTGGTCACCTCAAAGGGTTTTAATTGTGAATTGTTAAAAGAATAGGGGACGCTACAGAGTGGAAATATGGCCCTTCCTCGGCTTTTAAGAGGCATGTTGCTGTCACAAAATATTTATGTGATTTCTCTTTTTAATAAAAAGAAAGTTACAAATCCCTCCTGTTCCCCCCCAACAACTTAGCACTTCAAGATTTTTTGTGTTGAAGTTATTCAGGAAAGTTGTAATCCAAACCACTTATATAAGCCAACGGTTTAGGTTCCAATAACCTATAAAGAAGTTTTACCACTGGCTTAATTAAAGACATGGCATACGTTTCCCAGACTCCTGCACACAAGTTATTGAATTTCCTGAAGTATTGGCAAACATAAAACTAATACCAACCGAGGTCTCATGCAAAATAGTGCGAATGACACCTAAATGAAGCACTATTTGACCATTTGTGAGGTGATTGTGAGGTGTTACTTTATGACCTAATTGCAGACCCACTTCCTCCACCTCCTCCCCCCTTCTCCCTCTCCTCCTCCTCCTCCTCCTCCTCCTCCTCCTCCTCCTCCTCCTCCTTTTCCTACTTCCTTCATCCAAAAGGAGCAAAAGGAGGCTGGCTTGTAAACTGTATGGTCTAAACTCCCCCGACGCGCAGTCATTTCTTGCCTGGGACGCACGTACGGTGGCCTGACACGTTTTGCCGTGCCAGAGGACCTCTCATAGGACCACTGGGATACGGGGCAGTTATCCCTGAATGTGATGAGAACATAGGACTCCTCTTTAACTCTTCAAGATAAACTGACTTGTAAAGAGAGAAAAACACTGAGCCTACATTTTGGAAATTGGAATTATTGTTGTTTGTTTCTATCCAAAAAGGTAGGAGAGATGGGTTATCTTATTTTATGTGTTTAAGGTCCTCCAATTTGCTTTGGGGCGACGTAATGACGCATCCAGGCCGTGGCACACCGTACAAAAATAGTTTGTGTAAATGAGAAAGTTTACGCTTCACTGGATGCGCCTGCAAGTTTAGTTTTTGCACGTTTTCCTTGTCACATTGAATATTTTTGGCTAAAGTACACATATAGTTTGCACCAAGTGATACATGAAAATGAAAACGTTCTCTTGGTGTATTTTCCTATCGTGGCGATGCCATGACAGTGGCACGATATATTCATCATATTATCATTCCTTCATCCTTTTGCATCGTTTTAGGGATCCTGTAGTATCAGAAATGCGCTAGATGGCGTAACACATCTCCGCATTTCGCTCAATAGCGCTAAATATGAGATGAGAATTATCCAATCATTTTATTTTTTTTTATGATCCAATTTGGGTGTCCTGCGTCTTTGATGTGCTACAGTTCTGCAGCTCTCTGAAATTGCGCCCTGTGATCACAGCATTCATTCGTAATTTCTCCCTCCACTTTACTTAGTCGTGTTTTTTTTATTACATTTTTTTGTTGCTTATTGCAATGCAAAGACGATTCTTTATTTACCTCCGGGGAAATTTCCTATGGACTTGTCCAGACCAACCTATAACAAGCTTTTACATGAAACAGAATGCTTTTACCATACAAGGACAATGTAAACAGTGTGACTCTGACTGGAAAATAGTCAGACAGTTCAAATTGATGGTTCAGATGTGTGTGTTTCCTGACCTTTTTTCCTGACTGCCTATTAGCCAGTCTGTGGGTTAACCACTCTGCACCTGCCAGTCTGTCTGCTCCGTGACTCTTCCTCCTTGTTACCATTCCACCTGCCCTTTTCACCTTTTTTCCCTGAATTCCAACTGGAACAGGCTGCTCCTTAGCTGTCAATTTCACTCTGTTGCCAAGCAGTGGTGTCATTTTTCCTCTCTGTTGCAACTTTGCTCTGAAAATAAGTTTTATGATGTTTTGTCAATAAAATACGCTCATTGTTCCACACTGGTTTATTTATAGAGCAACTGTTGCTTAAAGACTTGATTCACGGCTCGCTTTCAGCTGGCTCAGACTGTGATGCCCATCTCCCCACAGGCATGGACCCGCAGGCCGGTTGTCTCTTTGCTGCTGAGGGAAACGGCTCTTTTCTGATGTTCTGTGCTGCTCTGCTCTCTGTTGGCTTTGGTCGGGCTTAATCTCAGCAGCACTGAGCAGTTTGCCACCACATCCAAGCTTGGCGGCAGGAGAGGAGCTGCCAAACAGTTCCTTTTTTTAGGCTCAGAAGTCACCAAATTACAGCCACTGGGGCAGTTAACCCCACCCTAGAGTTCTTACCGGACCCGCCTAACACTAACAGGCTATATATCTGAGGAGGACATGAGGATGTGTGCGCGCGTGAGTGTGCTCATCAAAGGAAGACATGGCACAGTGAAACTGTGGTCGGGAGTGGGTATGGTGGGTGGGGTGTCTGCAAACACTACCAGATCATTTTAATAGATTATTTATTCAATGAATGTGTTTACATACATGAGAGAATTTGTTTGGGCGGCGTGGCTTCCCACACTCAGACGTCGGTGTGATTTTTACATTTATCTTTTAGTGTTAAAGTTTATTATTGGGTGGACCAGGTTACAGGAAACAGAAGTGTCCCAAATTGTAACGGCATGCAAGCGCTAATTTATTCAGCGCAACATGCAATGTCCGATATTCTGTGCGCAGTCAGCACTGTGATCACTTTGAACCAACATGTGATTTTAATTGGCACTGAGTGTTGACGTGGCGGCTGCCAAAATACAACCCTTGTGGTGCCAGCTGGCACTTGGTTAGCTCCATGCCCCACCTTAACTCTGATCACATGACCGTCAGCACTGCGAAAGAACAGCTTGTGATACAAATTGAGATAAAATGTGGTAGCACTGTATGTCTTGATGGTTATTGTTCGGTCTGGTGGCTTTTGAGCAGCGTCAAATTTGACCTTTAACTTTTGGAATTTGGTGATTTAACTTGCACATCGTATAAAATTTCCTCTTTCATAAGAGAGTGACTACAAATAAGATCAAGGGGTTTAGTCCATCTGTGGTTCTGAGACTTGACAAGTACCCAAAACGTGATGGAGGTGCATATCCAAAATGCAAAGCAAATTACAGACACAAAGTGTGGGAAATTCAGACACATGAGCAGGGATTATTTAAAGTGGTCCCTTCAAAGACATAGTTCTGCTTTACTGACAGTCAACATGTATCTGATTATTTTACTGCAACTTGTTGAAAGTTGAAACTAATTGTAGGTTTTAGAGGACTAACTAAATGTTGTACCTAAGATATTTGAACATGCAATGAAGAGTCCACTCTTGGCTACAAACAGCAGCAGAGATGCTACTGCTTGGAGAGTCCTTGACTCTCATATTAAGGATGTTGAAACCCGGCCCTCCGGGGCTGCTGTCCAGCGGGTTTTAGATGTTTCCCTGCTTCAGCACGCCTGATTTAAATTAAATGGATTTCTTTAAGACAGGATTACGCTCTGCACAAGTCTGATAATGGTGCACTGATTTGAAGCAGGTGTGTGGAAGCCGGAAACGTCTTCAACCTGCTGGACGGCAGCCCTTGAGGACCAGATTTCTTTTGGCCAATAGTGACACGCAGCTTCTCCTTCTTTCTCCCTGTCTGTGTGCCTCATGATGGCCCCTCCACACTATACTTTTTTTCCCTTTTTTCCATTCTCTTGTCTGACCCCACAACCAAAGCCACTTTATACACACACACACACTCCACTGCGCCACACATTACAGCTAGACAGAAATAGCTACCCATGCATGCATCCATCCATCCATCCATTAAACCACCTTTGGCCTTTGGGTGGGAGGAAAGCCGAGGCAACAACAATTAAGACTGAAGCCTTTGGTTTGTTTTCGTCTCAGTCCCGGATGTTCCAAGGCTCCCAGCTTAACTTTTGGGAGACAAGAGGAATTCATGTGTACAAACACTAGAGCCAGATAACGGTGGTTATTGCAGCTAGTAGGGCTTTTGATGGTGGGATGTGGTTTAGTTTATCGGCACGTTGTGTTTATAGTTACCATACACGTGAATCATACTGATGAGAGACTGCACTACTTCCTGTGTCCTTCTCTCATCATACCCCATGTCTAAATCTACAATCACATCTTGACAAAAGAAAGACAACAGCAGATCTATAAATTAGAGGATGGGTTTGTAGTAGATACTTGCCGTAGTGTTGCTAATAATAAACTGTCAAAGTTGTAGTAAACTATATAACATTCAGTGTGTACTCTGGCTACTTGAGTGTTTCTTTGTATATTGCGTGTCATTGTGTGATGCTGACTCTATATGCACAAGCTATTGGCTGCATTTTTCTGGTCAAGACAAGGCCACTGGTGTTTTTTCTCTTTTTTTCCCTTGCAAAATGGTATAATTTGGCAGCTATTTTTATTGTTGGGAGCAGACTTCAGGGTCCACTAGTTCATGCTCCCTGGCCAGGTCTGCATCACGCACAGGCAGTCTTTAATGCCCTTAAAGAGTGGCTACATTAGTAACCATTACCAAAAATACCTATAAGTTTTGTTTATGTTTTTATAAATGAAGTTAAAGTTATATACAGCTTGGCAATTCTATGTTTTGTGACTCAGTGCTGCCTGAAAAACCCTTTAAATGAGGCTAAACAGCAAGACAAAGATCAAGCAAGTGTTGCTGGTACTGCAAGTATTAGAATAGAATGTTTCCTTTTGTTGGCAGAGTCTCCTGTCATTTGTCAGCATGATTCCATAACTTCTCAGAAAGTCTATTTCTCAAACTAACCATTGGCATTAAGGCCTTCCAGCCCAGTTTATGAATAGTGAGCTGAGAATAAGAAAAGGAATGTCAAAGTTTAAGAATATTGTCTTTCAGGTCCCCACGGGGTCCTGTGTTGGCATTGGTTTTACTTCATAGGATTAAACTGTGTCAAAATTATTTTTGTATGGATCGGTTGGCCTGGTGATAATTTGTTATTCTAAGAATGATTTCTTAACGTTGAGTTGTGCTTAAGTTTTCTGGTCATTGCAAGTTGGATAAAGCTCATATGGTCAGTCAAATACACATATGCACAAGCTCACATGTCTGGTGAACTTAATTGCTATTACGTGTACGATATTTGTGTGTGTGTGCGTGTGTGTGTGTGTCTGTGTTCATAACGATGACATCATGGAGTCTATTTCACAGCTTTTGAATCTTTGTGTCTGCACTTGCAGACTCAGTTTCCCCCAGCATATGAATGGCTGCTTTGTTGGAAAGCTCATTTGGAGGAATAAACTTTTCCATCATGTAGGTGATGCCCTCTTTACTATCTGATTGGCCACTGAAAAGAGACCTGCTTTCAAGGGATCTTAGTTGCACGAGAAAGACAGGGACGTTTTAGTGTGTTTTAACAACATTTTCTGAGGGGGAATTCCTGGCAAGTGTGACAGGGGTAATGAGTGCATTCCTCCTCACCAGCCTTCAGCTTTAGTCTGCCTGTTAGGTGTGGCATAAACTTAGAAGCTTGTAATTTAGGATAAGCAGACCATTTCATAATATTTCTGACCACGGCACTGACTACCTCCCCATGGTCAGATTGATTTATCTGGAAGCCAGTGGTACAGTCCAGGTACATGCCACTGGTTCCACAAGTGTTTTTCTGTACCTAAGTGTTTTTATGTGACAACATACACACATACACTTATTGGAGTTCATTTGTTACAAAGAGAAACAAAGAGAGGAAAAATATGTCAAACCTTACTCTGTCAAGCCACTGATAGTCCTTCACATTTTTCCTGGTTTAAAAAACATTGTTAAAAGTGGATCTGCATGGTCACAAAAAATATGTTTCTACATACTGACAGTGATATATTTGATTATTCTTGACTTGATCAATTTTATGAAAACTGCCTGACAGAATAGAACAGTAATGGGATACATTTCCATCTCACCATCAGCAGTAATGGACTGTGACAATTATTAGCATTTTTCTGGTGACAGATGGTTGAATTATTTTGTAAATGTTTCCTTTAGACAAACTTTTACTAAATAAGGACACGTAGTTTTCCTTAAAACAAACAGCTTTCTGTGTTCAAGTGGCACTGATAGCTAGGGTCTTTTAAATGTTTTTTGGATTTTGTTCATTTACGTATACACAGTGCCAACACAAAGTACTTGGAGGGGACACACCTTGATGAATTAGGCTCCAGTTTCAAAATCTAAATGTGGTTTTATGCCCCCTGGGCATTTACTTGCATTGACAAACTAGGACCTGCCATATCAAGCACTTTTCCTTGCACATTTTTTTATGCTACAACAACCCAGACAAGTAAATGCACACTGATATCAATTGATATACTGCACTGTAATTTCAATGGAAAAAAATACCTGTCAGTACATCTGTGCATTTATTCATCACACGGGGCTGGAGGCCTATTACAATTAGCCTGTCAGCACACAAATCCATCAGCTTCACAAACAGAAAACTTGAACGGTGACATCAAAAGTGAACACTTTGGAAATTGAGGACATATTGCTGGGGTCTGATAAAGTAATGACACGAATATCTGTTCTCTTTGTTTGTCCTCAGGTGCTAACATCTAAAATGCCACCACATTGCTCCACTCTCCTGCTGCTGTGCGTGGCCCAGCTGCTGTCCCCGTCATCTGCCCTGCCCTTCGAGCAGAAAGGCTTCTGGGACTTTGCCTTGGACACTATGGACAGTGGTGGGATGATGTCAATGATGAGGGATATGGAAGAGGGTTCAGCCATAGATGACATTACACCTACGTCACCCCCCTACATGCCCATGTGCCCCTTTGGCTGCCTCTGCCAGCTCAGGATCGTCCAGTGCTCTGACCTTGGTCAGTGAGAGTGCATGTGAAGGAAGTGGAGTCTGAAAGATGTTTTGTCATCATGTAATGTGTGAACATGTCGAGGCTAGCGAAGGAAAAAAGGATTTGAATGACTAAGCATAACCAAAGACTTACAGCTCCAGAGAAAAAAAACCCAATATTTTCTCGGGGAAGGAATTTCTCCCTTTGGGTACTTTTGGGTGTATTTAGACAGGAAAGGCATGTCTTTGAGGGATTTTGTGTTCCAAACTCTGTGAGTTGACACTGGGTGGGAAAGATCTGGAAAGGTGTTAACAGAAAAGATCAATGTTATGAGAGAAAAAAAGGGGAAAGAAAGATGGAACAACACAGAAAAGGAGGGAAGGATGGAGGAAAAAGACTAATTGTTTTTTGTATTAAAATAGGCATTATGATGAGAGGGACATTTTTTACTGGCTACTTAAAGATAACCGTGTTCTTCCTGAAGGTCTTTGGAATCAGGATTTTGTATAATCTGGAAGGAAAAAAGCTAAATAAAATAAAATGGTAACAAGTAGAACATATTTAGTTCTCTTTGGTTAGATGGATAAAATAAATCCTGCCTAAAAACTGGACAATATTTAGAAAAAACAGACTTAATTTTGGTCTTCTTTCCACATAAGTATACAGCAGATATTAAATGTGTGATATCCCTTTGTCTTGTCTTCCCTTGCTTAAATTAACCCAACTCACTCTATTTATGGATATAAAGGTTCTCCACATTATACTTGTCATATAACTACTAAAAGATGCCTGTGTTTAGACATAATGGTTTTGTCGAATCATCATTTTACAGGCTCTATATATTTACTGTCCAGAGTCTTTGTGCTGTGGGTAAATGTGGAAGCGTATAATTTCCGAGATGTCAAATGTTTATTTAGAACAGATGTATTTTGGTGGTGCCGTCTGTCTCAGTGTGCATCCCAGCATGATGTTGGGTATTTGTATGGAGGGAAAGTGGGGTGCTGAGGGTGCTTGTGTTGTCAGCTTGCGGTGGAGGCTGTGAGATCTGTGGCAGATGTGGGTCAAATGCGGTGGATTGTGGTTTTAGAAGGCAAAGGGATTCACTTAGTCGGGGTCCAGGTGAAATGTTTCTTTTGTCCAGTTCGTAATTGCTGTCTGCAGATGGGATGCAGGCAAGCAGTATACACTGAAGCTTCCAGTTGGCAGGAGGCATGCCAAAAGCTGCAGGTGTTGACTGGAAGGTAATATTTCCGACCACATGAATCAGCGGGATGACATCCTGCTCACTTAGAGTTTCACAGCAGCTGGAATAACTTTACTATATTTCAGCAAAGTAAATAATGAAGGAAAAAATCTGGTTTGTGATTCACTCTTGATACCAAGGACAGAAACATAACCCTACCTCAGAACTTTTAGAATATAATCTCTTCTTTGCGGGCACAGTCTTGATCATTTGGAGGATCAAAGCGCTTCACCAGCTCTCTCAACATTGCGTGGGTGGGGTTTCAGTAGATTCTGAGAGGAAGCTGTTGAGGGTTTGATCCAGTGCACTGTCATGAAGGGTGTGGTGCAGCACTGCCAAAGCCATATATCTAAAGTTGGACAGCTCTGGGTAGAGTCCTGTGGGTCGAATGTGGTCGTTGGCCGACTGAATCTCAGCAAGACAGCTGGCACTTCCTCACCAGCAGGTCTACTTGCATCATGTTCTTGGCCCAGCTGAGGTTAGTCTGGGCCTGGCTTCGCGTACACGTCCACGACCACATCAGATACACATGTCCACGTGGCTCTGTGATGTGTGCTGGTTAGGGATCATTGGTTTCTGTGTTTAGTGTGAGTCATCTCCCTGGAGATAAAATAGGCTAATGCAGGTTTTTTTCTTAATGCTTTTCATTGTGAATTTGTCGCAAACTCTCGTTAGCTCGAAAAAAAAAACGTTACGACTCAGTAAACAACATTCATAAGGCGATCTTGAAAACCTTTGTTTTTATTTTTGTCATTTTTTCTTGCTAATCAATCAAAATATATAAGACACAAACTCCCAAAGCAAGACCACGTCACCACACATTAACAACCGCAGCTTGTTTTTCTTTGCATGTGTCAGGGTTGCGCCCTTCTCTTTTTTATTTGATATGTGACTTTGCTGATGGTATTTAAGACACATCCTATGTGACTTCTGTGAAATGGAAACCAGATGGAAAACATCTGGTGTCCCCATCTGGAGTTAAGGGAATTTGTGTTTCTCCATGAATGTGTGTGTGTGTGTGTGTGTGTTTGTCCTATCTCTACTGCTGAACCAATGTCTCTATGTGACCTTAAGGGTTGTGTCTATGTCCACCTTCATTCAAATAATAGACATGGAGCACAAAGTATTCATTTAAAATAGTGTAGGAGTGTGATTAGTTTTGGTTTTGGGGCTGAGGGAGCTTTAAAACCTACTGTGACTATTTATTTTCCAAGCCACTGTCTGAGTAAGACATCCTAAAAGCAATCTGGTTTACAGGGTGTTGGTTGACAGTCACCCATGGATGCATTTAATATATGATGTCTCCCTTTCATGTTTTTCTGGTTTTGACTTCAGGTTTGACGGAGGTACCAAAGGACATTCCTCCAGACACCAAGTTCCTGGACCTGCAGAACAACCGCATCACAGAGCTAAAAGAGAATGACTTCAAAGGCCTTTCTAACTTATATGTAAGAGAGATACACACTCTGGTTATTGAAAATGCCCCATTATGCCCCACTATTAAATAAGCACTTCTCAAAGATGTGCAACCATAGATTTTACTTGCTTCAGTGATGTTTAATATCACCATAATCCTCATTCCCTGTAGGATTTAGATGTATATTCCTTGTTTATTTTTACCTTTGCAGCATTTTGCTCTGAGAACAGTAATTGTACCAAAGTTATATGCCGAAGCTGCCTGAGCAGTATAGCTTTATTATTGACCCACGTTCAAATCAACTCACCAAGAGCAACATTAAGTTTGGCACCTTAGGAAACTCATGCATGACAGTATATATAAACGTCTCAATTGAGGTGTATCCATCTGGTGCATGTCTGGGCTTTGAAAACAGTCCTAAATTTCTGTTAACATCTTTTTGTTCGGTCAGATCTATTCAGCAGAGGCAGAGGGCACCAAAACAGACTATTGTACAATTGACAGTAGTTTTTTTCTGCCTGGGTGCTATTATTGTTGTGGCTCAGAAACAAAAAGAACTTGTTAAAATTGTGCTTTTCTTGGTTGCTTGGTTTCCTTTTTATTTTTGATTCAGGCTCTATCCGTGAGGAATAACTTGATTTCCAAAGTCCACCCGAGAGCATTTGCCCCTTTGAAGCACATGCAGAAGCTCTACTTTTCAAAGAATCTGATGACCACCATCCCCAAAAACCTGCCTGCCTCTCTGGTTGAGTTGAGGATCCACGAAAACCTCATCAAGAAAGTTGCAGCTGGGACCTTCTCAGGACTGGGCAATATGAATTGCATAGGTTAGCAAAGTTTATGACTTCAACAAACCCATTGAATATTCTGTCTTGCTCACCACAGCCTTTGTCATTGTATTGCTGCAGGAGTGCATTCTTTTAGGGTCAAAAGGAATATGTTTGGTGTCATGTCATGAGTGTATCCTGTGTCTTGCAGAAATGGGGGCGAACCCCATCCAGAACAGTGGTTTTGAACCTGGAGCATTTAAAGGACTGAAACTGAATTATCTGCGCATATCCGAGGCCAAATTAACCGGGGTGCCGAAAGGTAAGAACTCACCAATGTAGCTGAAATGCCGACACATTTACAAAGACATTTCTTCTTGACATTAAAATGCTGTTTCAAAATAGTCCTACACTAGAATGTGAAATGCCTGTAAGGGTCCACAGCGCAAGGTTTTACAGTTTTACATCAAAGGTGGTATTGCAATTGGTAAACACATGAATATAGACCGGTTTTAGACTGACTGAATACTCTCATGAAAACAAATGCCATGGCAAAACAGGTCCATCACATTTGGTTATGTTTTTTAGATGTGCACAAATGTTGCTATTTAGACCTTTTTTTCTTGGAAGGCCGGACAGACAATTGATGAAGTCAGCAGCCAAGTCCGTCAAACAAAGGACAAAAGGACTTTTCATTTCAGGCTTGTTGGTTCACTATGTGTAATTTTTTCCTTGCCCTCTGCCTGACAACTCCCAAGTGATGACAAGTATTTAGGACACCCTAAAGGCAAACACAGGGATTTTAAAATCTAGTATTGAAAGAAAACAGCACGCTTCAAATAATGTGCCAGTAAATGGTCTGAGAGTACAAAATATTATTTCACCTTTGGATACATTCAGGATTGTTATTCCCCCTTTTTGCTAACCTTTTTGTCATTCAATGTTAATGATGTACTTACTGAAGTTACACACATAATGTATTAAATTCGTTGTTAATTTGATTAATTATTGTTGGAGATTATTGGAGTTATATCAATCCTGTCAGGTAAGGCCAAGAAAATTATTTTATTCCATTTCATGATTTGTCACATCCATTAACTGGAGGACAATCGTCTGTGTGGGACAAATATAACCCTAAAATTCAGGCTGACAGATTTAATGTCTGGCTTCTAGATCTCCCAGAGAATCTTCGTGAGCTTCATCTGGACCACAACCAGATCCAGGCTTTGGAATTAGAGGATCTGAGCCGCTACAAAAACCTCAACAGGTCCTCCTCACACTTAAACACTGTCCTCTCGCACCCGTCTTGCAAAGATGTACACTCACAGTCAGCAGTGCCCCTTAGGGGTAACAACACAAACTACATTTAACTGTCATTTAAATATAGTATGAAATTAGTGTGACTGGGTGCTTTTCTCAGCTACCCTCACAGGCATTTTTCGCAGCAAATATCAACTAGCTGGAAAGGCACCAGCACATTTAACATTGGTGTTGTTCTCTTATCATAACCCCATCATATTCAAACATTTGCTTTGTCAGTTGCCAAATACACTCTATATCCTCTCCTTCTTATTCACCACTTCCTAGGATGGGTCACAGGCACACAGACAGGATTTTAAAATCCCTTAATCTCATAAATAAATATCACTCTGATAAATATCACTTCAGTACTCTGATGGTCATTAGGGATTTTCTTACCCTGTTTTCTGGCCATTTAACCTGTCCCTTTTTCTCTCAGACTGGGTCTTGGCTTCAACCACATTCGCAACATAGAGAAGGGGAGTCTCTCATATGTATCAATGCTTAGAGAGCTGCATCTGGACAACAACCGCCTCACACGTATTCCCCAAGGCCTTCCAACCATGAAATACCTACAAGTTAGTCTACAAAGACATTTTCCAAGTGGTTTAAAACGCTCTACATGCTCTTTTCCCCCTTCATACTCTGCTGCTCTTTTGTTTCTAGGTGGTGTACCTGCATTCCAACAACATCAGCCAGGTGGGTGTGGACGACTTCTGCCAACGAGGATTTGGGATGAAGAGGACATTCTATAACGGCATCAGCCTTTTCGATAACCCTGTCAACTACTGGGAAGTGCAGCCTGCGACATTCCGCTGTGTCAGCAACCGGTATGCCATTCAGTTTGGAAACTACAAAAAGTAAAACCCGGGTGATGCTGAGAGATGGAAGGAGTGATGGGAAGGTGACAGAGAACAGGGGAAGAGGCAGATAATTTAATCAAGAAAAAAACTTGAGAGATGGTGTGAGGGGAGTTTATATTTGATATCATTAGATTTATTATCATAGTTTTTTTGTGGAGAGATAAAGTGATGGAAAAAACGGGCAATAAAGTAATGGAGTAAAAAGAGATGAAATACATTATCTCATAACTTGAAGTGAGTGGAAGTCAAAATTCCTGCAGTGCTGCATCTGGGTTTTTGCTTTATTACAAAATGAGTTGGAGAGTTTTACCATCTGAAGCAGATGAAGAAGAGAATGTTGGAGAAGAATGTTTTTCCCCGAGCCTATGTCAATGAAAAACCAATACTGAAAACTTGTGAAGCATTTCATTCCATTTTTCTTTTCACAATAGTTTTTATTGTGGCAGATGTTTTTCTAATTCTTCTTAGATTTTGGTTAAGATATGAGTAAAAAAAGGAAAAGCAGTGCATTTTATAATATTTTATACATATATAAGGGTGCTACATGACTTCCTGTGTGTTTATTTGTTGAATATTTGTTTGTCCCTGTTTCACAGCTCTGGGGATTAAGAGTAGGTAATAAAGGATGTAGAGTTATTTTTTAAACCATCTCTCGAAACAAAAAAGACACAAAAGGTGAAATATTCTAATTTGTCTGTTTGTTTTATTAAAAGGGAAAAAGGGATAAAAGTGACCTTAGATCCAAATGTATTTTCTTAATGATCTCTTACTGAATCTCCTATGTGCCTTTATTCATTATTAGCTATCTGAGCAACATCTTAATGCAGTATTTCTCACGGGGACCCTGTGATAGGGGGGGACCCTTTTTAGAATAAGGAAACACACATCAGCTTTGCTTTGAGACAGTGAAGGCATTGTGTTCACGTTGTGCTACAAACAGTAGTAGTGTTGATGCATTGTTTTGCACAGATTTCTGCACAGTTTTTCTTATGCTTTATCTGCTTTAGGGTACAATGTGGTAGGGTTAAGGGAGTGGGACCTATGAGGAGCTACTTTAGCCATAAGTATTATCTCCTGCTTCTGCTCTGTAACCTGACAACCTACAGCTGCATGTGAATAAAGACATTTCAGTCTGTTGCATCGAGCAAGAGAACAACAAATGCCCTTGAGTTGGATGCTGTGTGAGAAATAAAGAGGAAATGCCAAAAAAGGCTGTTGTTTATTTAATGTTTCTCTGATTTAGTAAAGGTTTAAACAATTGAACTGTTTCATTAATAGTTTTTCCCCTTTGTGAGCTAGTATTTGTTAAAATTATTGTATTGTGTTTTTTGTGGATCAGAATTTTTTTTAACCATAAACAATGACTTTACCTATTTTATTTAAACCATCCATCCATCCATACATCAATTTTCTATGCTTGCCTAACCTCATTTAGATTTGAGGGGGGTTGGGATTTGTCCGAGTTCTTATTTGGGTGAAAGATGGGGCACACCATGGACAGCCAGACAGTTTATCGCATTGACAACACAAATGCAAACCAGAAAATTAACCATGCACAATGAACCATGATTAATTTATCATCTTGAATATGTTGTTAGGTTGCAGGAAGAAATAGTTACCAGAGTGAACCCACTGCTGCAAATCTAAACTCCACACAGAGACCCCAGCTCTGCTGCTGTAAGGTCACAGTTCTATTCACCACAACCCCCATGCAGTCCTACTTAGATAACATACACAAAACAATGGTAAAATCAAGACATTTTTCATTTTTTTCTTTCTAAAAAATAGCTTCTTTATAACTTTTTATAAAGTCAGAGTCAACACAAGACAATATTGCATGATCTCGTCTAACCAATACCATTTTACTATTTAGAAAATAATGACAGGCTATTTATTTTACAATTGTGGGTCAGATCTGGCATAGAATATATACTCCTAAAACATTACAGCCATGAAGTTTTAAAACATTCAAAGTGTGGTTTGACATTTTTTTGTTGATGTAAAATGACAAATATCATTTGTAGATGCCATCTGTCTTTGTGTTGCGTGAAATGCAGAACAGAGCAGCAACATGTAGAATGATTGTCATTCAGAGACAAACCTGATGGTATTATCCACATCACCTTTCTCAGCTTTTTAAGTCAAACTATTTGACAACATAAGGAAATCTTCGACAGCTTCCAGGATATCTGTGCTCCGTCTGCAGAAACATTAACAATGGTGCATTCGCCAGTCAAGCAGCTGTTGCAAAGGAGCAGTATCATTTTAGTTTTCAAAAGTGGCGCTCGGTGCGTCACCGCGGTGCGCCTCGTCCCATCCGCCGGAGAGGAGACGTCTCTCGCCGAAGCGGAGCGCGCTTGTCCGTGCTGGAAGTGGACGGGTATGCGGCGATGCCCTTGCACATGAAAGCGTCCGGAGCGTTCTGTGAGCCGCGCCCGAGAGGTTTCACCACGGAGAGGAGATTGCGTGCGGGGGACAGGCGTCCGGCGTCGCAAAACAAAACGGCGTCTGGTGGTCCGCCTGGTGGCAGCGGCCCGTCGATTCACCAAAGAAGCCGGGGGCTGGATTTACCATGCCGAGGGGAGGTGCGGGTGAGTCGGCCAGTGCGGCGGAAAATGTGCGGCCCCTGGAATGAATATCTGGAAGCCTGCACAAATACAGTCGCTGCAGGCGACTGGGGGGGGGGAGCGTGCTGCCAGCCATTTTCGTTTTGGTGATGTAAATATTGCACATGATTGCGCACAAAGGTCTAAATGATGCATGTAGATAGGCTAATCACTTGTATGGAAAGCTGAGATGATGATGGCCATGGCGCTGCTGCATTAATCTCAGTAATCAATTTATTAATCAAATTATTATTGTTCTGTTTCTTTTTTTTTTTTCAAATGAAAGTCGCCCATATTTCCAAAGTGAAAGGGCTGTGGGGCATGGCACTGTAAGGATGCTGTGTTCATTTGATTAGTAGGCGCATTTTGTCTTTCCAAATACGCCCAGATGGAAATGTCTCAGCCGAAAAAGAAATAGCCACTCTAAATTAAGCAGCAGACATCACTTTTATTTGGAGCTGTTTTGCGGGCTTAATTTAGCTTTCAAACGACTTCAAAGCTGAGGCAGAATGTTCTGCTGCATTGTTTCTCATTTAGTCCTGTTTTTCCTACAGAAAGCTCGAAGATGAAAAGAGGAGGAGAAGGAGAAAGGTGGGGTGTGTTCTTCCTGGTCAAGGATAGTTTTTAACCAGACCTCTTAGAATACAAGGTAGCTTGCATTCCTCAAAAATATTGAATTTCCATGTTTTCCAGCACATTTTTGGTTTGTCAGTTGAACTGACACCTCCAATCTAAAAATCTGTCATTAGATCACTTGAAACCACAAAATAAGCTTTGTTCCTGGCTCACTCCAAACAAGTAGTATGGTATAAAGGCCTGGTGACTGAGATGGCTATGACATGACTGATAGCATGTTGTCCCTCTCTGTCTTACCTTTCACAGTTCCTGTTCAACCCCATATGTGTTTGGGGGGTTGACACAGTTTGGACTCCATATTCAGCTCTAAAATAGCATCCCACTGTAAGATGTAAGAGTTTGAGTTGGCCTCAGATTTAGTAGATTTCACAAACTTTGTCAGCAGTTAAACGTCCCCAAACCATTGGTAATCTGGCTAATCTGGTTACACAGAGAGAAATTAGTATTTTTCTTATGATGGACATGAACATAAACATTAATGGTGCTGATTTGAGGTGTTTAATAAGGTGTCCTTATGATCTTATATTGTGCTATAGTATCTTTTATAGTCTACTCTGAGTGTGATTGGTTGCCTTGTTGATACCAGTTGAACTGACTTGCATTAAAGGTGTGCTGTAAAACCTGGATGTTAATTTTGGATTGCACTTTAAAGTGATGTGAGCCAACTATAATAATAAGAAGCAACAATGATTAACATGCTTTTGTCTGTTCTTACAGCGCCATCTGTGCTCAGAGGGTGATGGCAGTGCAGACTGAGCTTCACCACTACTACCATCCATTCCCGAAGATGGATGTCCGTTTACGTCACGCCTGAGCTTGCAAGTTGGGCTACCTCCTCCCATTCCTCTCCTTCTAGTTCTCCTTACACATTTCAAACCTCTCTTTGCATACTCCCCAGCCAGTTGCTTCTAGCCATAAGCAACCCCTCGATCCACTTCCCCCTCCTGGAAATTCACCACATCTCTGCAGTCTTAATAATGGCTTGCTGTGGTCGGTCCCTGGATTCTCCTTGCACACTAGCCCTGCTTATAGGTTTCCAGTTTGCCTTCGTGCTCTATTTCTCTCTTGGGGGCTTCAAAGGTCTAGTGTCTGTCCTGGTGCACACCACAGAGCCTGAGTTTGACTATTCTCGACCTCATGATGTCTACACAAACCTCAGTCATCTAGGAGTACCGCCTCCTCCGCCTCGCAATGTTGGCACAGGAATCCCTGCCACAGGACAACCGCTGAGAGACTGCCCAATCCCATCCCCTCTATTGGGTAATAGATAGTTGTGCTAAATGTGTTCTGTCAAAGTCAACACACAGTTATTCAGCTAAAGACACCTTATGCTCATTTTTTTTGGTGAGCTTGTTTGAAAAAATTGAACAATTTCCTTTTTGTTCCACTTTCTTCTTCTTCCCTTTCCTCTTACAGTTGGACCTGTGTCTGTCCATCTTAACGCTCCTCTGTCTATGGAGGAGATCAGACAGAGGAACCCGTTGGTGCTGCCAGGTGGACGGTACCGGCCTCCGGACTGTGAACCCCGCCACCACACGGCAATAGTGGTACCATACAGGAACCGACAAACCCACCTCCGTGCCCTGCTCTACCACCTCCACCCCTTCTTACAGAGACAGCAAATCCACTACAGCATCTACATCGTACAGCAGGTGGGGTCATGCATCTGAGCTCATGGGTGATAGTGTTAACGTGTTTAATCAAACTGGCTGCTAACAACTTGAAGAGTAATTTTCATTTTCCAAAACCAGTTCATTTAGTAGCTGTAATGCTGGTTTTGTCCAGGAACCTATTGCAAAAGAGTACCACAGTATCACCCATATTTATTTTACTTTTTATTTTAAACCACATGAAACAAGCAGTGGACAAAAAGAAAAAATGATCAGCCATGTATTAGTTCACACAGTGTAAATACTCATAGTAAAAGAACACTGGTTTGTCCTTATATGTTTAATGATGTAGTAAATGTGATGATTTAGATTTCATATTCATGGATGAAGCTGTGAAGTTTTCCAATATGCCTTATTTCTGGCTTTAGTGGGGAAACAGTACTTTTAACCGAGCCAAGCTGCTGAACGTCGGGGTTCGGGAGGCTCTCAGAGACGAAGAATGGAGCTGCATTTTCATTCACGACGTTGACTTGCTGCCTGAGAATGACCACAACACATACACTTGCCACAAGCAATTTCCCACGCACCTGTCGGTGGCCATGGACAAGTTCCGATACAGGTAGGAGGAAAGCATGAACAAGTGTGTGTATGGATTTCACTGTTAATGAATTGGCCTTCGATGTCATTTTCAAGACTGGACATAATCTGACCCCTCCCAGGTTGCCATACCCTCAGTATTTTGGTGGGGTGTCTGCAGTGACCCCAGAACAGTACATGAAGATGAATGGCTTCCCGAACCAGTACTGGGGCTGGGGTGGAGAAGATGATGACATTGCTGCCAGGTAAAAAGATAAATGAGGCAGAGGAACACACCCTGCCTGATTACAGAACGAACTATAAACTGTGCATGTTGACATGTTAAATGTACATGGGTCTCCAGCGTAAAAAACAAAACAAAACTACAAGCGCAGGATTTCTTTTGCTCTACTCATTCATCTTTCTCTGTTTTATTACCTCACATTTTCCTTTCCCTTTCTTTAAATTCATGTGCCCTAACATCATCTTCATGTCTCCTCCCTTTGCCTTCACTTTGCTTTATATCTCTTGGATTGGGCTCAGTGGGTACGTTTTGCATCAACTAGGTTGTAGATTTTCATAGGACTTCTTATTTCGGATTCCAGGCTGTAGTCATCGTTCCTCTCATTTCTGAGCAGCAGTCCCCTCTCTCCACTCTCTCGCTCTCAAAGCGATCGCCAGCATGGTGTGACACACTGTTATTCCAGAGAAAATTGGAAGTACTCTTGCTTTTCTGTGTTTTACAGTATTATAAGAATATTCTAAATTATTAGTTGAATTACTTGATTTTGGGCGACATAGATAACTGTAGTGTTACGCAAGCAAGAGATAGAAAAAGGGAACCACAGTATTTTCCACCACCAGAAGGCTTTTCAGTTACGTTTTTCAACCACAGTACCGTTCTCACTCTTTGTCCACTTTTCAGCTCCTCTATGCATTCCTATATTTAACTTTAAATGTGTAGTTTTCCTTTTTTTGATAAAACAAAAAGTAGCGGTAATGCTTTAGCACCCAATTAAGACATTGAAGATTAGTTTTCCACTTAACTTTAGGAAATATGAGAGTGACAAACTGGAGTTTTCTTTTACCTACTGTTGATTGCTGCTTATCTAGAGTGCGGCTGTCTGGCATGAAGATTGTGCGCCCTCCAGTGGCTATTGGTCATTACAAGATGATCAAACATAAGGGAGACCGAGGCAATGAGCAAAATCCCCGCAGGTATGTGTGGACATGCTCACAGACATAGAACTAATTTATTTTTAAGGGCCTCAATGCTTCTGTAGAATATGCAGTATCTACAGGCTTCATATTTAGCCCTGTATTAAAGTAGTGTTATCTTTTTCTGTGACATTCAAACCAGCGCATTTTCATGTTTTCTGCCCTGTGGTGCTAATAATATGCGGCTTAATGCGTCTTTTTCTGTATCAAATTGATTAAGTTTTTATTGTGAATTCCTAAAGTGTTAAATGGACTTTTATTAAGGGCTCCATTTCTTGTTCTTATGGGTCTGTTTCACTGTTTAAAGAATTCTAATGTATTGATTCTAGAGTTCAAAGAGTAACCAAATCCAGATCCCTTTTACCGGTTTGGTGAAATTTGATTGTGAAATATATAGATACATATATATGTTGTGCTTATAATCCTAGATTTGACCTTCTGAAAAGGACCAGACTCAACTGGCGTTCGGATGGCCTCAACTCACTAGCCTATGAGTTGCTTTCCAAAGAGCTGGAGCCGCTTTACACCAACCTGACCGTCAACATTGGAGAAGACCCCCGTTTGCCCCTGGGAAAAGCCTCCAGTCCTGTGAAAATGACGAACTCTGTCCAGCAGCGAAGCACAGGCAAAACTGGAGGCACTGCTGAGCAGGAAAGGCAACCAGGAGGAGATTTAATAACAAATAGAACTGTGGCCCAGGTGGTGGGTGAAAAAACAGGACCTGCCCAGGCAAAGACAGCTAATCAAACCATACAGGCGAAGACAGGAATGCTGAAATAAGAAGAGGTGTATGTAAAAAGAAAAACCTCTGTAGCGTGGCTTGCCACTTCAGTTTGATTTATAAGAGAAAAAGAAGGAAAGAAGTGTAGATCTGGCATGTGAAGAGTAGTGAAGCACTGGATCAAAATGCTCATATGAGTGCATTCATGAACACGATCAGTCAGCTCCTCTGGGTTTATCATCGGATGAATGTGACACTGGCTCCAGTGAAAGGAGCATATTGGTGGTTATATCCATGGCGACGCCACAAGAACAAAGATGAAGAACTCAGTTAGTCATATCCACATAGAGGTCCAAAACAAACTTGCTTAAGATGCTGCTGCGAGTACAGAGTCATCTGCAGACGGACATAACAAGCTGCAAGTAACCCATCTGAATACCTGCAGCTCCAGTCTGCTCCCCAAAAAAACAAACAAACAAACTGTTGTTGTCTGTCCGCCTCACTTCACAGTGGGTTTGTGTTTCCGTGCCTTCTCTCTTTTATGCGCATTTTATAGAATGATATAGTTGCTTTTAGAGGCTGACCCTGGGTAAGATTACCTCTCCTGCCACATTGGAAAAGTTGGGGAGTATAAAGCTGATCCTGGATGGACACTAACTCTTTGCTTCAGGGCTGCTGTTTTATACTCATGTGCATTGATCAATCACTGACCAACTACATAGTTACTGGATAATTCTAGAGTTTATATTTATATAGAAAGAATTCTTTATTTGTGTACTGGTTTGTTTTATTGTCCTTCATTATAGTCTGGTGCCTCTCTCTCTCTCTGACATTTAGTTTATAGACAATCAAATTATATGGGAAGATAATTCTGTATCCTACCACATAACAAAAATGACTGTCTTTATGCCTGTCAGACAAACATAGACTTGGAATCATAGTTGTTGTCTAGTTTGAGTATACTCTTGATACACAAATAGATCTGTACTCCTGATATTATCTATAGGCTTCATCATTTGTTTCTTCAGAATAGTCAGGTATGGAAAAAATCACTGTGCATGGATTTGGATCAGTTTTCAACAGGTTGCCCGTGGCTACATCTTGAAGCTGCAAATAGGTCTTTGCTTCTTATTGTCTTTCTTCTTTTGCTCCATTGAAGCGTTTGGGTTTAGAAGGGATGGTGACAAGGAAGATGAAAATATCTTGGGTCTTAAATGTATAGAAGAGTGCTCAATCGGTCAGTTTATGTGGTTTACTTATCCTATTCTAGAACCTAAAAGCAACTTCATTTTTCAGACATTCATTTTTTGTTTCCAGCCTCTGGGAATGTATTTTTTATTTGTGTCTGGTGTTATCGGGTGAGCGTTGTTGATGTCATAGAGGGGACGTGAATCTGATAATCCATAGGGCACTAGGATTTCTCGCTGCTATTTGAAACTGTACAACTAAATATAGCGTCAGCTGAGGTACTGTAACACTTAGTGTGGAAATTTGTCGTCACACTAACAGGTAATGTATGAGTAAGCCTAATCTGAATGTATTTAATTTATTAAATCTATTTATTATGGTCAGTAATAGAGCTACGTGGGCAGACTTCAGAGGTGTTTTTGCGGTGTAGACGTGTTCTCCATTGTAGATGAGATTGTTTTCCTTTTATACTCCACGTTCACATTTCTTAGATTAACATTGTGCCTCATGAAATAGGGCCATATCACTGAAGAACTGAAGGTCTGATGTGGAGTTAGATGTTAGCGGCCCCAAGTGGCGCATCCTGGTGCGGCATCAGCTGAGAGAAGCCTGAATGAAACTGCAGCGTTGTGACATGAATGTTAATCATTAGTGTTCACCATTCACAGGTTTCAGCCAATCAAATCTTTCCATTGCTGTGCAAGGAGGGTGTCTCATTTCAGCACCACATGACTGATCCCATCACCTTAAAGGAGTAGAGCAACTCAGTATTTTATCCACCAATAGCGATAGAAACTAATGGTGTAAAACACACGAGCAGACATTGTTTAATGGAATGGTTCTATGTTTATTATGAGGTGATGTTTTAAACAAAGAGTCAAGTGAAAAGTTGTTGTCTTCATAGTATACATAGACAACGAGGCCTAATTTATTAGATTTATGCAATGTGATTATTTCAATGCTTACAAACAGATATACTCCATTTATCATATTGCTTGGGACAAATCCTGTATGACGTGTAATAATGACACAGTGAAAGCTTTTAAGGACATTATATAACCTCTGCAGATTAATCAGCAAACATTGTGCTTACCTGGAGATCATTCTATATTTAATAAACAGGTTAGTTTTTATAAAGGATGTTTTCGCTATATGTTGGACATATATAATGTGCAGTCAAATGCAAATTCAGGAATGAGTATTGGGTTTTCATGGTTCATTTTTTAATTTAAAGAGTACTTGATAATGAAATTACACACAAGGGTATATATAAGGATTATGGAAAAACAGCTGGCCGGGGATTGCTTATATCTTTTTGGAAAATCATAATACATGACATCACCGATAGAGATGCCGATTCCTGTCATCATTTCAAGTTGCCTTATTTACTGACCTTCTCTTGATGAGTGCATTTTCCGTATGTGTGTGTGTGTGTGTGTGTGTGTTTTCCCTGAGCAAAGTCAGCAAAAAAGGCAACACAAGCAGTAAAATGCAATGGACGTTGTTGTGGCATAAAGCAAATATGTACACCAATAAAAACCCATAATCAAAAAAGCTTGTTTTCTGTGAAAGGCCTTCATATCCTGACCTAAATGTGGAGCAACATAGATGTATGTACCATGCACAGCTTACTATAAATACCCAGTGCTTATGGCAATGCACCTCCCTCAACACTCGAAGCCTCTTTATGAATATGGGTTAGCATTTTGATAAGTGCTACTCCAGCTCTGACACTGCAGAGATCAGATGCTCCTACCAAGCAGTTAGATTAGTAGTCCCATTGCAGCACAAATACACGCTCTAGGGCAGTTAAAATGCACAAACCTGTTACATCATACCCTGTAATGCAGGCCTCAATGTTCTGTGTGGGCAAAAGGAGCTGGATTATAAACTTGGATATGAGATCTCCTATAAATAGACGGCAACTCTGATATTTATGTGTTCGATCTGTATTAGAACTCACAAAAAAGGCATAAACAAACACTCATGAAATGTGTGAACCAATGTGTCACTTCTTAACCACCTGATCCTTGATGGGAGCTGTGGACCTTTAAGATGCGATCATCATTTTTATTCCCGTTGTTTATTAAGAACTGTCTCTTTGAGATAAAGGATCACTTCTTATTGGGAGTCACAAACACACCACAATGTACATGGAAATTAAGTTGAGATAGCAAAAAGAAGGGGTTGATTGTAAAATGATATTTTAAAACTTTTTCCACACATAAAGAGTAAAGGGGTAAGCTTTGTAGAGGTACACTGAAAAAAAGTTATATGGTAGATCTGGTAGTCATACTGACTAATGATATGTGACACGCCCAAGTCCAGAAAGTAGTAAAATTACCTGACAGTTGTTTTGCAACCAGAACAAAAAAAGAACATTTCTCTGCTCCGCCACAGAACATGTTTTGCATTGGACAATGAGGAGGATTTTCAGTCAGTAACTGGGAAAAAATGTTTCTCCTGAAAGAGCTGATTGATGCTATTTGAGATTTTGGAAACATGTAGGCCAGATAAGCTGTTTTTAGGTGTGACCTGCAGTAACCCTGCCAGTGGCTTCTCCTAACTCAAGCCAACTGATCATGATGCTTCATGCCTAAGCTTACCTGAGCTGACCAGTAAAGACAGCGGGCAGATAAGGACAGGCCATGGCTTTGCCATTCTGGGAGAACAAAATTCACTTATAGCACACAGCACAAAGAACAACTGAATAAAGTAGAGACACAAAATTGTTTATTAGGATGCCTGGACTTGTATACCACTGTTTCTGGTTTAACAGCAGGCATCGTAATCATGCTATAAACTCTACCACCTACAGTGGTGAGATTCATAACTTTATGTTATGAGATATCATAGGGCTTATGTATTCTTTTGAGGTCATCAATGATGCCGTCATGCTGTGATGACGGCGGTGAGAGTCTAGTCGGCATTTTTCTTCCAGCCGACTCATACACTTGTCTTCTGAAGTGGCTGTGGCAGGCAGACACATGATAGAGGGCTGAGGCAGCCTTTAGTCACCTCCTGTTACTGTATGGCCTTTGAAACACAGCTGACCTCTTTCACACAGAGCAAAACTTGACCTTAAGCAAAAATTCACCCGCACATATAATACTCAAACAAATACCGATTCAAACTAATGCAGCCATTGTACAAGAATGTAAAGTTAAAGCTTTAGTTGTCACTGTAAACAAGACAGATCTGAAAATTCTAAATTGATTCAGAATCAATGTACTGTAGGTCCTGTTTCTGTGCAGTCTAAGTGATAAATACCTTCTGAACTGAACCTCATAGCAAATGTTAATTATTTACTGTGAAGCCCAACTGTACTTACAACCTTTATTAGGATTCTGAATATTATGATTTTTGGAAAAGCCATTATGTCATAAACCTAAAAGCTTTCCTCCCCTTATCTTCATCTTTACTCAAACATTGCTCATTCAGTTTCTAAATGTTTTTTTAAGCAATGATGTGAAGATAAACATCCCACGTGTATTATGTAATAGTTTATGCATGTTCATATAATTTCCAGGGAGAGAATGCTATTGTAAATGATGCCATTATGTTTATAATTTGGCAGTCTTAAATACTTTTTTTCTGTCAGTGAGCAATATGTGTAGCAGATCTAAATTCTGTCATCAGCCCACAATGGCAAATGTTTTTTTTACACTTTGAATAAATGATGTCAGTACAGAAGATTTAAATGACGACATGACTGTCAAAGTGGTCTATTGTCACAGTTACTGTCTCTTACTTTTCTCTGAGGTCACGATTTTTTGTGACTGATTACCACACATCAACGTGAAAACTTACTATGATAATAGGTCATAAAATGTAGTTATATAACCACTCTCTTCTAAAAGCCATTGGAAATGGAAACAACAGATATGAAAGACTGTATGAAGATCCGGAGGCGGTGTGAAGGCAAAATAATGAGGAGGAGACAGGATCAGCCATCAGGACTGTCAGGGATGGACCCTCATTCGCGTCTTATCCCATGGATGCTCAGCTGCTTATGTCATCCATATTTGCAGCCCCAGTGGACAATTTCCTATGCCGGGGGCCCTTTCAGTGCTCTCAACACATCAAATGTATTAATTCCGCTACTGTGGCAGCGCTTTGGAGATCTAGGTCATGCAGTAATTTCTCTCTCTTTTAAAATGTTTTTTCCTCCAGCCATTTAAAACATGTAAACATCGTCCCATCCAGTTCCTGCTCAACCTGACCTTGACTTTCCCAGGTAATTTTTCCCGAGAGGTATGACTGTGTGCCCGTTCTACTGTTGTTCTTCCAGGTTGTTTGTGTGCCTTGGGTATTTGTTGTCTCACGTGTGACCCATGCTTGTTTGTTGGTGCTGTGGGTATGATCAGATGTTCTGAGGAAATGTACAAGCCTCTGTCCACGCTCAGGGCTTTCCTGCAGCTATGTGTACATGAAACAGAGGAGAGCGTAGAGAGCAGCGCAGGAGTGGGTGAGGGAGGGTGAGCAGACTGAGGATGACAGAGAAGGGAGAAGGGTGAGAAGGGGGGGAGAAGTGGAGCGGAGGAGGGAGGGTGCAGTGAGAGGGCCGTGACGCACACTGATCGGCAATGCTCGCCGCTGATTGGTCACGGCGGCCGCCAGTCGGTGAAGCTGGGACTGAGGCGCTGCTAGAAGAGCAGATTATGAAGCGGTGTTCAACCAGCGGCAGTCTCCTCTCATTGTCTCAATGGCTGCACACGCATTCCTCCTCTGCTCGCTCGCCTTGCTGACCGCTCTCAGCCGGCCCGGGCTCTCCTTTTCTGAGGAAGAATTTCAGACTGGACTTATCTATGATGAAGTGCCTGAGATCCTGGACAGAAGGTAAATCCAGCATCTACAGCTATGTACAGAGGAGAGGTATAAGGGAGAAGGGGGGGAGAGGGGGAGGGGTACAGGGGGATGCATGCAGGGATGCTGATGTGCTCTCAATGGGGATTTACTTTTTCTCCTTTGCAACACTTCCCTGCTTTTCAGTTCACCTTGGGCTTTTCTTGTGGTGGGATTGTAGGGAGTGTTGATGTGTCAAAGGGCTGAGCTGCAAGGCTTTGTTTGTGTCAGTGTTGGGGACCGCATCAGACGCTGCTCATTGATCACGGATGGGGCTGTTGTCTCCGACCAGTAGTGCTGGTCTGGCAAGAGGGAGCTAAATAAGGCTGGGGCAGTGGGCCTGCAGGAGAGGTGTGAAGGAGATGGAGGAAGGAAGGGAAGGAAGAGAGAAGAGAGGTAAGCCACGCAGAGGGAAGGTAAATAAGGATGGGAAAGGGAAGAAAAAAAACGCGTTAGGAATGGTCAGTTGGTGTCTGTTTACTGATGCAGTCATTAGAAGGGAATTCTAGCCGGCTTTGTCAGTGTGAGGGCTCATGCAGTATTGTAGGGGAAATCTAGATAACATGTTCCCGGCTCTCAGCAGTGTTTCGGGGGCCGAACTGAGCAGGCAGCTGGAGCCTTTAGAGCCATGTTCCTCCCTGCTTACAGAGACATCACGGCAAAGACCTATGAGATTGTGCCTAAGCCATGCAAGGTTCTTGAAACTATGCCATGTGTGATGGCCCACAAAATCCTCTCCATGCACACACTTCAAATGCATAACATGCCGCAGTTGCTGATTGAATGCTGGCTATTTGCTGTCAGTTATTTAATTGTCTCAGCATGGTCTGAACACTAATACACTTTGGAAAAGGACAGAATATTTCAGCCATTCCTTCATCTCACAAACAATATGAACTGTACAGATGTCGACAAGTTTTAGCCACCATTAATTCTCCACGTATTCTCATGTATTTGCTGTAATACATTATGATACCCAGAGAGATCCCCGTCTCCACTTTTGACAACTGCCCCACTTGGGTTTGAGCCTTCCCCCCAGATCAAACTTTGCACGTAACTCTGCAATGTAACAGTTTGGGTCACCAGTTACCGCTCCTGTTTCCAGCTCTGACTCACTCATATGCTGTTATGTAATGGCAACCTTTTATGCCTTCAGTACCAGAAGCCTTGGAGGGAAACTAACATTTGCTGGAAATAGAGAGGTTGCAGAGAGATAGAAAACTCTTCTGCTGATAGGCTTCTATCTTCAGTTCTATGCTCAGTATGGTGTTTACCTGGCCGAATACAGATTGTTTCAGTTGGCACCAAGTTACAAAACACACAATAAACAACTTTTTAGGGTTCAATATTAAATTAACAACGCAGCATTTCAGAGACTAAAAATAAGTATTTCATAGATCTGAATTTCTGATGATTGATGTTTGCCAATTTATTTGTCACTGTTAAAAAGTTACCATAATAAATCTCTGCGAGGCCAAAAGATTATGATGCAGAACTCACATTTTAGAATAATAGCATTGGAACAAAAAAAACTAATAATTCACAAGATCACAATTTACAGTGATAATAAAATATTATGAAGGTAATACCTTTTCTCAGGAAATTAATGTCATTCCACTGAGGATACAAATAAGAGACTAACCCGTTATTTTGGAATTAAAATTGTCTTATTACTGGACAGTCCATCAATAGCAAAGACATAACTGGAGAGAAAGTTCACAGCAAGTAAAGCTTTTGTAGAGGCAGTTTTTTTTTTTTTTTTTAATAAAGAGAAATGTAGGTGCTGTTCATAGTCTATTGAGAACATATTTTTTTCCTACTGTATTTCAACACCTTTAATGGAACTTAATTTAATTTTAGTTATTAATTTAATTCTGAATTAATGCCTCCTGCACATTCTGCAAGCAAAAAATGACCACTGATAAGCTAATCAGGACTGAATGGGGTTGTATATTATATATCAGTTATAAGCCACTTGCTGTGTTTTTTTTTCATAAATCAGAATTCGGAATTTACAGAAAGATCTCATGTTTATGTTGCAACAACATTTTCCAATGCATTACATAGTTATCAGGTACTTTAATGCTACTTGAAACATTTGAACTCTGTCAAACAAAAACATTGAATCAAGGTATAGGATTTGATCGTTGATGTTTATTGAATGAAAGTTTTAAGGTGAAAAGACCAATGGCTAGTTTTAGCATTATTTGTATACTGATAAATGATGTTAATACAGATACAGTCTTCACTTTTCACTGGGAGATCTTCTAAATTCTAAATTTCTTTGTATATTTTATCAACAGACTGGCCTTAACATAGACACAAAAGAAAGCAGGTCAGAGAATCAGATTTTCAAGAGAAGATTGATCAGTGATCTTTATTTATAGAGAGATTAAAAGGTTAAAAAAGACAAACAATCTAATTTTAGGATTATTCATTAATCACTTACCTTCAAATTTAATCTCTCTTTTCCGGACAAATCACAAAGTCATTTAGAGTTAATCTGTTTAGTCAAAAGTAAATTATCAAGCATAGAAACACAATTTTGTCATTTATTTGAATGGATTTAAGGTGCTAGCTCAGGTGTTCTATGTTTAACCCTTGGGTTTTTGAAGAATAGGAGGATTTACACAGGTTGAGTGCTTAATCTGAGGTCAAATTTGAGGCCACAATTAAAGCTATTCTGAAATGTCATTAAGTCGTTGACCAGCATCTTAGTAAACACCTGATGCTTAATCTGTACTATTAAATCTATTAATAGGCTAGTACATGCAAGAGTGGGATTAAGATGAGGTTTCCCGTCTCAAGTTATACGCTTGTAGCTAATAATGTCATATTTTAAAGATACCCAACAGATTTGACTAAAATTATAATCAATATCACCAAAAAAGTCTACTAATCCCTTACATGGTTACATAATATCTGAGATGCTTTGAAATTTTATTTGGATGTGCAAACAATACAATACATCACTGGGTGAATACACAGCTAATCCACACAGATATGTCAGGCCTTTTGATTAGTTATTTACGCTATAATGCAATGAAATAAACTGAAAAAAAGTTACATGCACTCAACTTTCACTACAAATACTACTACTACGGCAGGAAGCAGGGGTATGGTAGTTTGATTACTGTTTGCTGTGTGTAAATGCAGTCACTCAGCACTTTCTGCTACACAACGGGACTTGTTTACAAGTTTTGGGGGCAGCCGCCACACCTTTTTTTCTGCTCCACTGTGCACAGCGGAGGTGCAGATGAGGGATGGGCTATCCATCTGAAGGCCTGAAAAGAGCACACCAAAAAACATCTGCGATGATAGCATAATCGCCGCCGTTATGTATGTGGGTTAATCTTGCACTGGTAACATGGACATACAGTATACCATATGTGAGGACACTCATGCGCAACCGCATGCACACATATTTACGGATGCACAAAGAACAGGGAGGCGAGCCAAGGAGTGGCTCTGGCTAGGCTTTGATTATGTAAAGGGCCTGCTCAGCACCCAAGCACCGTGTGACAGGCTGAACCAATGATGGGGCTGCAGCAGCCCTGGGTTGCTGACCTCGCGAAACTGGCACGGGAACAAACGACTGGGCTGTGGTTAGTACTCGGATACTCTCATTTTCACAGCATCCTGTGCGTTTCTATCAGCCAGAAAAGTCCCGGCATGCTCACGAGTAGGAGTAGGTTTCTGTTTTGTTTTGATGTAAGAGTTTGTTGAACGTGTTGGTTGAGGGTCGGGTATGAGAGTACACATAACACATAAGACATTGTGGTCCCAACTACCGGCTACCAAAGGCTTCCATCTTGGTAGTTCATTTAAAATATCCATGGTCATTTAGCATTTACCAAGATAACAAGAAGAGAAATCTACTTACTTCACCACAGTATGAGCCAGCTGGACAGATAGTTTCATGTCTGAGGTATACAGAGGAGTTTGTGGTCCACTCCATGACTACAAGGAGGGCCTGTGGCAGCAAAGAGAGCCCAAATCATCATCCCTCCAGCACTATGCTTTGGAATGAGGTGGAGGTGCTGATAACTGTGTTTTTCCTGTTATGGTATTATGACCAGAAATCTTCGCTTTGTTGTTGTCTGTCAAAAGGACATTGTTGCTGAAGTGTTGTAGTTTGTAAAGATCCTGATATGCTCCTTTTGGAGAGAAAAGGTTTTGTCAGGCATATCCTTTCAGTAAACCATACGCATTCAGTCATTTTATAATTGTTCTATGATGAACTCCTCACACGAGTGCATTTGATAAGCAGCACCTTGCTGTTACAACAATCCTATTTGTTATGAGGGGTTACCTCACAACAACCTTTCCACAATCTTTTTGTGTAAAATCTTACATGCTGTTTAGCTGAGGCCATACTCACTTTGTCTCCTGACATGTTAACAGCCATATAATGTTTTATTTTATCTGGTCTTGTGAATCCAATTGAAAGAGTGTACACTTTTTTAACATGAAGTCATGCATGGTACATATCACAGCAAGATCAAACAAATCTGTGCATATGTGGACTGGCATGTGCTCACATATCACAGGGAGTCTTGGATTAGCCAATCATGATGCTGACGCTGAAGTTGGCAAATGCACTCTTGGATGTCAGTTAAGGAGCTTGCATGGAGGGCACAACAATATAGTACCTGCTGATTGCTAACTCATTTGCATTCTACAGATGTCATCATCCATCATTATCAGGTCAAATGGATTTAGGCTTAATTTTAATCACTGATTTTCTACAACGGACCATCTGATTAATCCACACCTATTCGCTAGGTGTGTTGGATTGGATGAGGTCGTAGTACTCCTTGCTGCTTTGTTCCCACATACAAAACTACCTGATTTCTAAAACCAGTTTTGTATTGCACGAAAGTTTTTCACAGGTCAGTCCAGGTGCAGTATTAAATACTAGAAATGCTCAGACAGATGAGTGTTTTGAAATCACGCCTTAATCTCTTCACCTTGTTCAGGGCCATTGTCACTCCGCATTTAGGCTCAAACGGACCTGGCCTGCCCTCTGCTAATCCTAATCCATCTGGCACCAAACTACACAATGCCGCCCAGGTGGAAACTGCACCATATGGGTAGATAACTGCTGCAGGTTGCAAAGACTGATACTCCTGGCTACATTCTCTAAAAATGCAACTTCCAGGGCTATGTGATACATTCAGAGCAGCTCAGTGGCCATGTTTAATGTAAACATTAGGTGTTGGCTGTGGTTGTTCTTCAGCAAAACTTAAATTAAAGAAAACATGCCTTGACTACCATTAAGCAAACTGTTGTTGATGGCATTATTAACAGTAGCTGATTGTTATTTGTATTGAGGAACATTACTAAGTATTCAAGATTGGTCCATGTTCTTGAAAAGGTGTTTCTAATGATATTGCAGTCGTTATCAAAAGAGGTAATACCTTTTATTGGTTGAAGATATCAAAAACACGTCATGTCAGCGGACACTGATGGCAGCTGACCTGACAAAGAGACGTTAATTGTTTTTCCCAGTCCCACAGGTATTAGGGTTTATCTGTAACAAGCTCATTATAACTGACTCTTGTGCTGGGATTAAAAGTCTGTGCCAAATGATGAAGACGGCCAGGTCAGGACAGTCCACTTTGTCAGACCATTGGATGGACCTTAACTACAAGCACAACTGGCTGAGGTGATGTTGCCCAGTAAGCCCACTGGCACATTATGTTGGTGATTAGACAGTTAAACGGGGATCAGGATTAGCCTCAGAGGTCTAGGCTATGAGGGGTTTTGTCTTAGACGGAGAGCGAGACAGCTGGGCAAACATGTGAAGGACAAGGAAAGGGTTTGTCCCGTGTCACATGTGCATGATATAGGTTTACATTTATGCATTCAGCAGACTCTTTTATCCAAAGAGACTTACAAAAAGAGGGTTTAACATTCAATTAAAACACAAGTTACACACTTGCCTCACCTGTTGGGCAATATGCTAGATGAAGATTTAACATTAAGGATTTAACATTAAACTATGGCATAGATAACACCAGTACCATACATTGAATGCTATATGCCATTAGGAAATAAGTGCATTTAGAGCTTTCTGGACAAGAGATACTCTCGGAAGTTCTGGGTCTTCAAGGACTTCTTAAAGGAGGAAAGAGAATGTGATGCTCTGATAGTGCTTGTGAGGTCGTTCCACCAGCGTGGAACTGCAGATGAGAAGAGTCTAGATTGACCGGTACGAGGCATTGGCCGTGTTAGCTGGCACTCCTTGGAGGAACGGAGTGGGCGAGCGGTGACATAGGGTCAACTTCAGCAGGCTGTTATTTCTCTGCAATCATTGAATCATTGGTGTCCAAAGAGTTTGAGCCTTCAACTTACAACTCTTGATTGAGTGCATCTTTATCCTGATATGAAAGCCTCCCTCCTCATCATTCACAGGTGGCAATATCCTTGTCTACACTGATTTCTGTTATTTGGCTGAATATATCCTTCCCTCCAATGAAACAAAAACAAAAATAAAGTGGCAAGATGTGCAAAGAATAAAAGAAGCGTATCAGTGTTTAGCAGTTGGAGGAGTGTTCTTAATGTAATACTTTATCTCCCTCTCCAGATATGCTTTTGTCTGTTCAAGCTGAAAAGTTCTTTTGGAACTTTATCAGTCCGCAAAGCAAATTATTACAGCAAATTTTCAGGATTATATTTGTAGAGGGGAAATGTTTTCATCAGACAACACTGCCTTCAACTAATTGTTTTGCATATTTTGAACAAGAATTGATGAGTACCATTATCTCATAGAGAAAGGTTCTGGGGTTAAAGTCTATCTGGGCCGTCCTGTGAGAAGTTTGTTTGTTTTCTCCAGGTGATCTGGCTTGCTCTCACATCAGAAAACAGATATGTTTTTGTTTTATTGGTCACTCTAATTTGAGCATAGGAGTAAATGTAAGATCCATAGCTATCTCCTTTCATTTCAGCATGTCATATTACACAATTTTAATAATGTAATCACACCCTCACATGTGTTTTATAGAACATTATCAGCTAACTGCTTGAGGGTTTTTTCATATCTCAGGATTGGTAACTTCCCATCACTGGAGTTATGTATCTTGTTTGTGTTATTCAGGGAAATGTTCCTCATCTTTTATGTAATCTATTTTAATCTATTTATTCCTTTTTTTTCCCCACAGCAAAGAGAACCCCCAGCAAGCAACAAGAGTCACATCACGTAAGTAACAAATCTGGTGTGACACAAGACCTGACTCAATCAAAACTGCCTTGGTAATTTTGACACTGATGTGTCGGATAGATCTGACAAATGCCATTATTTCTGAAGCTGGAGATATTTTTCTTAACAGACAAAATGTCCACATGGCAAAATTTCTTATGTTATATAGATGCAAAAGACGTTTTGGAAAGAAGGCGAACAGTATTTGTAAACACTGAATAGTGTGTAACTGTGAAATAAACTGCTGATGAGTCAGAACAATGACGCAAAACCTCTGGAAATAGAAATGAGTCTGAGCAATGAGGTGCAATGAGCTCTTTGCTCTTTGTGTGTATGCATGCAAGATGTGTGTAGTGTCTGAGATGATCTGAACTTGTATGATTATGTTGCTGTCTGCACTGCAGTATTATAAGAAGCTAATATTTGTGATATTATCTGCTATGACAACATGTGATGCATTTCTGCTTTCAGGTAAAGATGGAGAGTTTGGCTTAGAAACGGAAGAGGTTTTTCTGACGCCTGAGGATGAAAATCCGCTCAGAAGAATACTGCAGGTACAGCCTTTCTGTTCTCTCCTCACTGTCTCGAACACCGGCCCTCTATGTTAGCCTGCACATATAAATACACACGCAGTCAAACACACTGAGATGCACACAAACAAACTGAGCATGCTCACTCAGCCGCACTGTGTGACCTTGGATGCAGGAAAAATGTTGGTCTCATATTCACCAGAGGTAAAAGATCTTGGCCACCCATACACAGAAGTACTGTGACTGAAGATTCAGTGAAACTCGACAGTGTGCTTCACCCACTGATGCATTCACATGTAGTAAAGTGTTTGACTTAGAAGGAGTTACAGCACAGCGTACATGTCATCACCATGACCCACTTGTTCAAGTATTATTTAACTACTTTCCACGAAACTGAAAACAATAATCCTTTTGTGGTTGTTATGGCTACACCTGAACAAGTATTCAAAATGAATACCCTCCAGTGAGATGTAGCCTTTAAGTAACGGGATTAAAAACTACAGGGGGCAGTGTCTGTGTGGCTGAGCAATATTGCCAGGGCAGTGTAATTGCTGCATCACACAAACACTTCGAGCGCCTCTTGTTCACAAGCCCCTTTTTAAAAAATTCCGGATTCCATTAGAGGCTGCAGTTGAACTTTACGCACACCTAACTTTCTATGGACATTGGGGCAAGCCTAAACTAAAGTTTTTTTTTCAAATGCCCCTTCAAATGAAATATCCGAAAGTTTAGGATAAAGATAAAGAAGTTGAATATATGCACATATATTTTAGTTGCAGTGTAATCAACAATAAGGAACAATACAGTTTCACAGCAGATGACTGATTTCTAATTAAATCAATGTAATGTAAGGTTTGTATTATAGGATGCAGCTCTACATTTGGAAGAGGGTACACTTTTGGCACAGAGGGTATTTTTACTATATTGTTCTTCCCTACTCTTGAATATAATGATAGGGACAGTTCCTCTGAAGTGACTGAATTACCAGAATTTATTGAGTGGTCTTGTTACATTTTCTGCTATCAGAAAATACATTTTTGGTGATACACTTGAAAGCAGAAGGGCCTCAGGCAAATGTGTTGGAGTCTTTGTGATGCTGATGACTCAACTTTACTCGCTTCAAATGGAAAATGAAATACATTATGTTACATTCACATTGACTCACATTAACTAAATATGCTAACGTTTGCTTCTTGCTTCACTTTTTTCTCATCATGCCTGTATACATGTTTGGGCACATTGAGTCTTAATGATTACACTGACGCTGTCAGGGCATGAGTGTTTTGTTAAAAAGACAGACTAAAACGATAATTCCATGCCCTTTAGATGTCAGTTAAAGAATACACAAACTCATCTTTTGCTTGTTACTGACAGAAATGGCTTATTATTTCATATCTTTGCAGCCTTTCAAGTGGCATCATCCAGGCATGTCTCTGAGCAAAAGGAAGCTTCTTCAGTCTCTGATGGGACCGTATGGTCCACTCAGTGTGTCCTACAATGGGAAGACCTGCATTCTATTTAAGGCAAAGCGGCTGGCAATCCGCTATAGAAACCATACTTTTATTGATCTGACCGAGAGAGTCTTCAACCCCAGCTCACCAGTGGACACTAAAGGCTCCATCTGTACAAAGGAGAAAGCTACGTAAGTCATGGATATCAGACTCTGCTGAAAGAACTATTTTTTGCTCTTGCATTCCAATAAATGGATGACACGTGTGTGCTAGACAGTTCACTCACTGACAGTTTAGTTACAGTTCAGACTAGAGTACTCATCTCAGCTGAGCTCTACATTTAAAAGAGATTCAACATTCCTTCTGAGTGAGATTTCTTTAAACATCTTTGCTTTTTTTCTGCAACAGGCTTTCATTAAGGTTTGGTGATGTAGAGGACTTGCGAGGTCTAGTTATCAGGTAAAATGTACCTTTTTTACTCACAAACATCTTTAAAAAAGAGAATATTTGATTAACAATCAATCGCTTTAAAGCCCATTGCAGAAAGCTTGCAAGTGCATACATGTGACTAACTGCAGTCTTGTCAAACAGGCTTCAAATGTCCAACACCTTTTATGAGGCAGCAGGTCAGAATTGGTTCACACTAGACAGTGTTCACATCCACTACAACTGGACCCAGGAGGCTACGTTCAATGCCAGCAAGGTCTACGCTCCTGCCACTTCATCCTACCATTGCCAGCACGTCAGCAGTCTTCACAAATATGACACACTGCTAGTGCCCAGCTCCCACACTGACACATCTGCAAACTGGCACATCACTTTCACTGAGTTCCAGGTACATGACTTCACAATGTGCACAGCCTTTGTTGTATACCTTCCCTAGTGTCTGCATGTTCAATGGTATTCCATATTCCCCCCACCCCTCCCCCCCGAATTTTCCTACATGTATGCATGCGCCTGTACAAATGCCAGCTATTTTGCTTCGTGTTTGCTCTGTTTGGCCGTCAACCAGTCAGAAAGTCAGTCCGTCTGCCTTCTGTTTGGCAGTTGGTCAATCTGTCTGAACAGTATCTGTTTAGCCATCTGCTAGGGTGTCTCAACCTGTCCATCTGTCCAGTGTCCCTGTGCTTGGTAAGCCTTGAAACAACCTAATCTCATCTTCTGCCTGCTCTTTGCCCTTACAGATCCAGGCCTTCAATGTGCAATCCGACAAGTTTGCGTCGGCCAGTGACTGTGCTACTTTCTTGACGCCAGCCATCCTTATGGGTTTGGTGACATCCTTAATCCTGCTCCTCGTCTTAGCCTACGCCCTGCACATGGTGGTACACCTTAAG